CTTCACTACAAAAATGTTGTACCTAAGACACAAATTGAAGCTGGTATTGTGGTGTAGTATATAAGCTGCCACTTCTAATGCCAGCATCCATACCTGAGTGCCAGCTCAAGTCCCAGCCACTCCATTTCCTATTAAGCTCCCTGCTAATGCACCTGGGAAGGCAGCTGAAGATGGCTCATGCACTTGGGTCCCTTCTACCCACATGGAAGCTCCAGACAGAATTCTAGGCCGGGCTTAGCCTGGCCAAATCCTGACCATTATGGTCATTTGGGAAATGAACCAACAGAATGGAGATCTCGATCTCTCTCTCTCTCTCTCTCTCTCTCTCTCTCTCTCTCTTTCTCTCTCTCTCTCTCTCTCTCTCTCTCTCTCTCTCTCTCTCTCTCTCTCTCTCTCTCTTTCTCTCTCTCTCTCTCTTTCTCTTTCTCTCTCTCTCTCTCTGTTTCTCTCTCTCCCCTCTTCTCCCTGTCACTCTACCTTTCAAATTAGCAATCTTACAAAAAGAAAAAAGTAAACAAATCTTATTATGCCCCTTTAGTACTAAAAATCCTACAGTCATATCTCTGCCCACCCCTTGAGCACAGGACACAAGATTCCCCCAATTTGCTTGCCTTTGTTCATGCTGACCTTTATTACCTAAAACATTTTTCCTGACCTTCTATTACAGACGTGTGCCACAGCCCAAGTCATTTTCTCTAGAACCCTCCTTCTTGTGTCCTTCACGCACTCCCCTATGACCTCTCCAGTATCTGTCTCCAACCTGTCACATTGGGCTGAGGTTATCATTGTGTGCCTTTCTCCCCCAAAACACCATAAAATCAGGCCACAAAAGTGGCAAACACTTAGAATTGAGTTCAGTGAACCAGATTCCAAGCCTGAAGTCCACTAGCTCTGAGGTTTGGGAATGTCACTTGGTCTGTATGAACTCAATGATTACTGCCTCTGATTTATAGGATTCTCTGGTCACAAGTATTGGGTTAAGCCATATGAGACACCTGATTTTATATATATATATAATATATATATACATATATTTAGCTTTAAAGTTGGTGCACTGGGGCAAGTGTTTGTTGCTATAGGTGAGATGCTGCTTGGGATACCCATATCCCATATCAAAGTGTCTGGGTTTGAGTTCAGCTAGTTCAGCTGCACTCCCAATTCCAGCTTCCTGTAATGCAAACCCTGGGAGGCAACAAGTGGTAGTTCAAGTAGTTGGATCTCTCCCCCCATGTGGGAGATCCTGATTGGGCTCTGGATTTATCTTGGCCCAGTACAGGCTGTTGCAGACATCTGAAAAGTGAACCAACAGGTGGAGAATTCTCTCTCTCTCTCTCTCTCTCTCTCTCTCTTCTCCTCATTCTCTCTCTATTCTGTAACTTTGGCCTCTCTCTCACTCTTGCTCTCACTCTTTCTCTGCCTTTGAAACAAATGAAAATAAGTGAATAAGAAATTTTTAAATCCTAGCCTTAGATTATTTTACAAAGTTTAGTGATCTCTTAAAGTCCCTTCCAGGTTTAAAAGCTTTCTAGGTTCATAAGGACCACCATTTTCTTATAATTGGTACTGTTTATAAATTTGCAACTCATTGAAAATTAAACCCACAGCTGGCATTTCAAAATACCAGGTAAAACTGCCACCACAATGTCAGCATCCCACAAGGGCCCTGGTTAAAGTCCTGGCTGCTCTACTTCCTATCCAGCTCCCTGCTAATGTGCCTAGGAAAACAGCAGACAATGACATAAATCCTTGGGTCCTTGCACCCACGTGGAAGATCTGGATGAAGCTCCTGTTTCAGCCTCATCAAGCCCTGACCACTGAATCAGCTTTTAAGATTTCTGTCTCTCCCCATCTCTCCAGCTTGCAAGTAAATCTTTTTTTAAATGATTAAACCTAACACTAAATAAGAAGGAAGCTCTGTTAACACAAACTTGCTTGCTGAGTTAACCAGGGTCCTCCTCCATTTGTTCTACAAAATACTGTCTGCTTCTCTGGGCAGCCAGCAGGTTCCTCTCTACTCTGCAGCCATCCTTCTTGGTTCTGGCATGACTCAAAGTCAATTGAGCTTACTAACCCAATTAGGTAATTCGACCAATTAATGCAAATTAATGAGAATGAGTGTGAAATGAAAGGGAATTATTTACTATGGGAACCAGACTCAATACCTCTGGAAGACTGATACCCTGAGATGCTGAAAAGACTGAAACCTTTGAAGCTTTGAGTAAGCCAGAGAGTGCTCAGGGGCTGAGAGGAAGGGTGGCAGCAGTGTGGAAGGATCGTGCATATGGAAGTGCATCACCATTGTCATCACCCTGCAGAATTTCAAACTAGAAACTGTGGCTGACGCAACAGGAGAAAGATGACACCCAGTTCCAGGCAGCAAGCCCACTGCTAGAAAAAACAAAAAGACCTTGATTCTACATTTTAAAATGTGGAGAGAAAACACACATTCATGGTGAAGTTTAAATTGTAAGGTTGCTTTGTGTTGCTTACCTGGCTTTTGGGACTGAATGCTATAAAGAACAGGGTTCCAGCTGAGCTGAGCAGAACCTTTTTAAATCAAGCACAGAGAAGGCACTGACTCACCCTGCTCCGTCACCCACTGGAGCCTTTGTTTAATGTCTTCCTTCTAAATTTGACTGAGATGGTTGGCATTTCTTTTCTAAAAGAAATCCAGGGAGCAGGACGAAACATAATGTTCATCTACCATCCTTCATCCAAAATAAACAACTCGGAACAGAACCTTAGCTTGATACAATGGAACACATAGAGCCCCATTTCTCTTTTCTCCTTCCCACTTGAATGGTTTCTCTGTAGAACAATTTATGGCACGTTTCAAAGAGGGAAAGCCGGAGGACTGTTCTGTGTCAGAGGCAGCTTAGAACACAACTGTAAAAACCCCTCATTTTCAAGTCAGCCTTCCTTCTAACATCTCTGGGACTAGTGATTTTATTAAGTTTGGGTTTATACTTGAAACTGAATCAAAGTTGAGAGGAGATGAGTTATGAAGAATATAAGAAACAAGAAGGCATTTCATCTATGAATAAGTTCCTCACTAAGGAAAAGGAAGGAAGATGGAGGAGAGAGGAATGTGGGAGGAGGAAGAGAAAAACAAAAGTAGGCATTTGTCACCACCTCACAAACCCAGTGCTTTAAGATGAGCTGACCATACTATCATACGAAAAAAATGTTGTATTTGTGGCCAGCATTGTAGTATATCAAGTTAGGCCACTGCCTATGATGCCGTTATCCACATGGGTGCCAGTTCAAATCCCAGCTGCTTCACTTCCAATCCAGCTCTCTGCTAATTGCCTAGGAAATCAGTGAAAGATGGCCCAAATCTCTGGGCAGCTGCACTCACTAAGGAGACCTGGAATTAGCTTCTACCTCCTGGCTTAGCAGCCATCTGGAGAGTAAACTAGCAGGTGGAAGATCTCATCTCCCCGCACCTCCTTCCTCTATAACTATCGTTAAAATAAGTTGTTTTAAACAATGTTGTTATTATAATTTAAGTCTTCACTATCAAAAATGGCTGGAAGCCCACTGTTTTCATATTCACTGGAAGACCAGGGTACATTCCACCTGTTGTAATAACTTCTGAGTAAGGAAGATACTAAGACAGTTGAGTGAGAGACAAAGTGAGATCTGACAAGTCAACCAAAAGTGATTCATTCCAGTAGGGTTGAGTCCAATCTGGGTTGTTTCTTTCAATACTGCTAGCTGGGGGCAAATGATGGCAATACTGAAACAGAACCTGTTTCTTCACTTCCGGGGCCTCCCTACGTGAGCAGAGTACTTATGTACCGCTGCTGATGTGGTGACCCACAAGAGCCTTACACAAAGAATAAATGGAAAGGAATAAACCCAAGGGGCTCAGGGTGTTTGCGGGATCAAAATCCAGACAGTGGAGACAAACAGGAAATGAGAATCTAAAGACAGCCCTCAGTGACTCTGGATTCACAGAGCTATTTCAGACCATTATATTAGAAATCCCCTGTGAAGCCTGTGCCAGGAAATAAATAGAGCCTAGACACTGACCTGCTTTGCCAAAACCTTGCACTGGCTTTCAGTGGCTGTTCTGTAAACACTCCAAATCATTGACCTGGGCTAGGCAGCCTGTGCCTGTGCCAGGCCCCTTACAGACAGGAACACACACACACACACACACACACACACACACACACACACACAGAATTCCATCCAGTGGATCACTCCCCAGACACCCTTAATGGCAAAGACTGGGCCAGGTAAACAAAAATCCAGAACACAATCTAGACTCTCCTTGTGAGTGGCAGGAACCGAATTACTTTGAGCCATCACTACCATCTCTTAGGGTATGCACTGACAGGAAGCTGAAACTGGGAGCCAGAACTGGGAATGTAACCGGGCACTCCGGATCTGGGGGTGCTGGCATCCTAGTCAGTGGCTTACCCTACTAAGCCACAACACAAGCCCCCAAAACTTAAGAAGTTGCAAGAACATAGTTGTTGCTACCATTACAAATGCTTCCTTATCTGAAAGTAAGTGAATAGAGTTCCAAAAAACCAACCACCAAAGCTATTACATGAAGCAACTAGATCAAACAGAACTAATTCCTTTTCACAAATTTCCTCTACTTTTACACCTGCATTTTGCAAGGAAAATGCTTCACTCGCTCAATTCAGAATTTTATACTGGAATAAAATAGCTATGCACCCTTGAACACATTTGCGTGGGAAAACACTCACACAGCTTGATCTATAGGCTAAAAAAATATTCTCTCTCTGCTGATATCAGGTGTTTCCGAGGTTTTCCTCCTCGGCAAGTGAGCAGGTTGAAAGTAACCGTGCTTTGTAGTGAAACAGGTTTACCAGCACACCCACGTGGCCCAGCATTCGGTTTTGGGCACCACTCTCATCTCAAGCTTGTCTGGTTTTCCCCTGGTGTTGGGCAGGAGAGGTGCTGCTGACTTTCCGATAAGAATAAACCAATCTTAAAGAAAAGAAACAGATGAGAATATGTACCTAATTTACACAGGGTGTCACTGAGGCTGATGTACAGCTGCTTCCGGATGAGGAAGGAGTTGGCCAGGGTGTCTGCCTTTTCTTTTATTTTTATCACATGCTTATAATATTCAATTACTTGCTTCCTTTTGGACCTAGAAAAGAGGAATTAAAGTGTTACACGAATGAAGTCTGTCATTTGTTCATTCACACCCATTCCCTAGCATTAGGCACTAGGGCTGAGTATCAAAGACAAGTAAGACTAATCATTGCCCTAATAATTCCCTAAGACAGGAGGGGACACTGGAGAGTAAAGCAAAGGTCCACTCATGAAGGACTGGCTGCAAAACTAATGTCTGAACTTGGATTTTGAAGCATTTCCTCTAAGAAAAAGACAAAAATCTGATCTACACTTCAGAAAATCCACCTGAGTAGATCTGTAGAGGACAAACCAGCAGCTGAAACTACAGCAGGAGACAGCTAGTTCTGGCAAAGATTGATGAGGGTCCCAGCTAATGCAGAGACCACAGGGAGATTTGCAAAGTCTAGCATCACAGTGGATGTGCAGGCTGATGTAAAGACTGCTGAGGGAATCTAGCCCTGCCATACAGGGATGTGGGTATGAGTCAAGCAGACATGGTAACAAGTGCATAGGCATGGAGGCTCCTCAGACTTGCAGATACCCACTGTGGCCCTACTGCTAAAAAGCTAGGCAAGTATCTACCTCCTGCACCTTGGCTTCAGTCTCCTCATGTTCCGAATGGGAACAACAGAGTGTTGTTGGGAGTCAATAAGAAAATACAAGGAATGTGTTTAGTACAGTGACTGATAATAAGCATATTTCAGAGATGTCATTAAGATGATTGCTTGATGCCTACACTAGGTAAGACAAGAGGATGCAATTTGTCTGGTAGAGAGAGGTAGATTGGTTCAGTCTTAGGCAGGTTGACCCTGAATATCCAAATAGAGACATACATCCGGTGGAGATGCATATGTCTGCCTCCAATGAGAGAAGCCTGGAAAGAGATGGAGACAGGAGCCATCACCCTAGGGAACAATGGCCAAAGCCCAAGGAACTTGGCAAAGTTGAGGTGCTATGATCAAACACGTACAGAGCCAAGAACAGAATGTAAGAGAGTGTTGGCATCTGGGTATGAGGTGGACACAGAAAGAGGAACTCACACGAGAGACTGAGAAGGCATCATCAGAGGACAGTCACTGCCAGAGGAAATCTCGGTTGATGACTTTCCTAAGAGCAGACCAAATGCAGCTGGGTAGGGGTGCAGGTGAAAGGCCAATAAATGCAGAGATAGGAAGTAATGGACTTCCTGGCAGGACAGAAGAGGGCCACGGAGGAGCATAGCTATTTATGTAAAGTTCAAATGCTGAGAAAGAATGAATCATTATTTCAGGCAAATATTATCATTCCCTTTTAAGGCACTTTGCTTCTCTCTGTTCTGTTTCATTAGCTTAATTCTTAAATCTGATTTCACATGTCCAGCCTTGCCTACTTCAAACTACCAGGGCCTCAGAATGCCAAAGATCATTTCTGCTTTGCATGAAAACTGCCTCAAGAGCCCCAGCCACTAGACCAAGAATCTACATGGCAAAATGTCTCCCAATCTTCACCAGTGTGGCAGCTGTGGCCACCTAAGGACAATCTTCGATAAGGAGGTGGGCATGGGCAGAAATGGTTTTCCATGGCTTGAAAGACTGATCATTAGCAAAGAGGTCTAGGACAAAAGCTTCCACACATGCCCAGAGCCTCTGACATGGAGGCCAGTCCTGTGGAATAGCCCAGTAATGTGAAGTGGCTCATGATTTCACACCCCATCAGCTCTGGCTTTGCACTGGGACAGCCGCCCGGGCATCCGAGATAACTCAGTCATTATGTGACATGCTTAGATTGTTCCAAGAGGCAATGTTTTTGCTTCTCTAAAGGAAGTCCAATTCTCTGCTCACAGAGCTGACCTGAGGATGAGTAACGATGAGGTTTTACATGATGTCACAGGTTTCAAAAATCACCTGCTAAGGAGCAAAATAACACTAATCACTAGAATACAAGCCAGGCATTGTGTTAAACTCTTTCCCTTTAAGACCTCTTATTGCTCAGAATCATTCCAAGAGGGTTCAGTTATTACTGTTCTTTTTCTCATTTTACCCATTCAGGAGTCAATGAGCTATCAAGAGGTTAAGAACCTGCACAACTTCTCAAAGTCATAAGTGGCAGAAATTTAGAGCTAAGCAGTCAGACACCAGAGTCCACCATCTCACCACTGCTACCTGACAACTGTACCTTTACCCTCAGACTTTCCCTTATTTCAGTTACTCTTTAAAAAGCATTTTCTAGGTTTGGTGCAATGGTTCAATGACTAAATCCTCACCTGGCAAATGCTGGGATCCTATATGGTCTCCAATTTGTGTCCCAGCTGCCCCACTTCCCATCCAGCTACCTGCCTGTGGCTTGAGAAAGCAGTGAAGGATGGTCCAAAGCCTTGGGACCCTAAACCCACATGGGAGACCTGGGAAAAACTCCTAGCTCCTGACTTCAGATTAGCTCAGTTCTGGCTGTTGTGGCCATTTGGGGATTGAACCAACAGATGGAAGATCTTCCTCACTCCCCTTCTCTCTGTAAATCTGATCTGCCTTTCCAAAAAAAATAAATAAATCTTGTATTTAAAAAAATCATTTCCCTTTTAAATACCTTATTAGAAAGGATTAAGACTGATCTGCGCTCGTGTGTTAGAGAGAAACAGCATTACATTCTTTCCAGGAATAAAGCCAGAAGGGGTCACCTATGTGGTGAGAGGAGGAAGATCTCAGGCAAAGTGAAAGCCTGTGCTAGAAAAGTAGGCCAGGAAAGAGGGAGAGGCCCATGCCCTGACCGTTCAGTCAGCTGCTCTGGAGAGGGGGAGACAAGGCCAACGGAAGCTCATCACTGCCCTGAGATGTGCCAAGACCTTCCCCAAACCAACTGGTCAAGAGAAGAGCTCAGGTCTGGCAGACGCTCACATCCCTGGGTCCACAGCCTTCAACAGAACCAAGGTGTCCTGGGAGGGAGCCGAGGAGAGTCCCACACTTCACAAGAGAACAGGATGATATCCAAGCAAGAGGGGTGGCAGGTGAGCATGACCAAACACGTTGCAGGTTCTGACTTCAACCTTACTGAAGAGAAAGGGCATGGTACCACAAATGGAGGCCAGGGGACACAGCCTATGCTGCAGTGAGTTTATCTTTCTCATAAGGCATGTGAGTGAGACTGGGAACCATTCAACGGTGGCAGCACCCCACTTCTCTGCCCTTTTCCTACTTCCAAAACCTGAACACTTTATGCTCTGTTCCCCAATGAATGAGCAGGGTTTGCCTCTCAGGCAGGTGAGATCTTCAAAGTTCAGGGCAAGGATGGAGCCAGAGAAGGGAGACACCCCTAATGGGTAACCCCAGGCCTGCTGCCATGGGTGGGAGACTTTTTGGCTGTGTGGAAGGGAACACATATCATTAAAACTTACTTTTCACTATCGTTTAGTGGAAAAGACAGTAAATCTGCTAAAAATTCCATAATTTCTCCAACTTGCATGGTTTTCTCACCAAACAAACATCTCCTGATATTTAAGCACTCTTGAATTTTCACTCTTGCAAGAGAAATATTTCCAGCAACCAAACTGAAAGTAAGACATACATGTTATTTACTGGCATGATGTAGACAGATCACATTCATTGTGCTATCAAAAATAGTTCTCATCAAGTGGCCTTGATTTTAAATAGTATTCTGTCCTGGAGATATCTTTTTTAATCCTAGAAGTTTATAAGATGCCAGAACACTGAAGTAACGTATATAAACACAGTACATACATGTCCACAAAGAAGCTATGTCACTATTCCCAACCTCAGCATGTTGACCTCTGGCCACATAATTCTTGTTGTAAAAGACTCCCTGTGCATTGTACAATGTTTAGCAAAATCCTGGCCTCTACTGATTTATTGTCAATAGCAAATCCCCCAATATGACAACCAAAAATGTCTCCAGACATTGGCAAAAGCCCCCTAGGTGAAGAGGAGGGGTGTTAAATTGCCCCCTTGTTGGGAATCACTAAGCTAAGGGAGAGAAATGCTGAAAGTCACTGAAGTGGGAAATGGATTAGCAGGTGTGAGTTAAGCATGTTAATCCTAAGAGCAAATGCTATTACAGAAAACAAAATAATTTGAAAACCCATGTTTACATGAGAACTCCTTCCGTGTATCTCATGGTAGCTTGATCACAGGGATTGTCACTCAGTAACTGGGAAACTTCCAAGGCATACTCCAAGACATGGTTTTCCTTTAAGTACTCCTCCGACGCTGCCTTGGCCAGGTTATTCAGCACCTTGACTGTGGAGAATAAATGTTGGCAAAGAATATAATGTTTAAAGGGTTTTTTTCTCTTTTTCAACAAAAGAGTTAAAAGCTATCAACAGGCATAACATCTCATATAATTTCTTCGTCACTGCCAATAGCCAACGGTTTTTTTTTTTCTGTTAATGAAAGCAATTCTTGACCTATAATCTGGGGGGATTGGCTTTCATGTCATGCTTTTGTGAGTACAGAGCTGTTAGAGAGCCAAAGGACTCAAAATCACAGCTTGAAATCCAATTCTGAGTTTGTTTTGCCAATGAATGGGTCAGAAATAGAATGGGCATATAGATGTAGTGAAGCCAGTCATCACCTTAGCAACCAAGTCCTACAGAAGGCCATCAGCACAATTCTATAATCAGATACAATAAAAGCCTGCATTCTTATGACAAGCAGCCACAAACAAGGCCCACAAACCCACTCACTCAAGCATGAGCTATACCTGGACACAGGGCCATGAGAAGGCACCCTCTGCAAAAGCCCAACAATTTTCCTTTATTTTCTTGTGTTTTTTTTTCTCAACTTTTATTTGAAAGGGGAGAGAATGAAGAGGGAGAAAGAGGGGAGGGGAGGGGAGGGTAAGGGAGGGCAAGAAAGGGAGAGGAGAAGATAGAGGAGAGGAGAGAAAAATGAGAGGAGAGGAGAGGAGAGGAGAGGAGAGGAGAGGAGAGGAGAGGAGAGGAGAGGAGAGGAGAGGAGAGGAGAGGAGAGGAGAGGAGAGCTGAGGCGTCTCCATTGCTGGTCCGCTTTCCACATGCCCATAACAGCTAGTGCCAGGACAGGCCAAAACCAAGAGCCAGGAACTCGATCCAGGTCCCCCACATGGGTGGCAGAGAGGCAGCACTTGTTGCCCTGCAGTTGGATCCAAAGCAGAGTTGCCAGGATGCAAACCAGGCACCCCATACGGGATGCGGGCTTCCCAAATGGCGACCTAACCTGCGGCATCTCGACACCTCTTCTTGCTCCTCTATTGCAAATCACAAATGTCAACAATACAGATTTCTCCAAAGTAGAAAGTGTTTTCCAAAGTGTTTGTTATGGGAAGAAAAAAAATCACAGTAATTGTTTTGGATGAATTTGGTTTCCTTGAACTGTTAAAGTCCTAAGCATGGTCCCTTAGAATGTGACTGTATTTGCAGAAAGGGCTATCAAAGAGGTAATTAAGATGAGGGTGGGACCTACTGCAACATGACTGGTGTCTTTATAAGGGAAGAAGACTAGGACATATGAACATGTATATGTGTGCCCCCAGTACCCAGGGAAGACCACCAGAGGATGCAGGGAGGAGGCAACCATCTGGATGCCAAGGCAAGAGATCTCAGAAGAAACCAACAAGGCTGACACCCTGACCCAGGGCTTCTGGCCCCAGAACTGTGGGAAATCAGCTTTTATCATTAAGCCCTCTCATCTGTGGTACATCAGCTCTCACAGACTCATGGAGTAATGTTCTAAGAAGGGGTCACCAGAGCATTGCCAGCAGTCCAGAAATACAGACTGACCTCCCTGTGCTACAGAATTCAGCCTTACTTATTAAGGATTACCACTCCGCTTTCAAGAAGCATCTCCTACCAGCACCATGAGTGGTTACTTCATTGCCCTGTGACCACTACACCCTTCCCTGCCTCCCAGCTAGGCCCCTGTTTCTTCTCACTTAAACATCAGAGGAAGACAGCCACAAATTTGGTCTTCCGACCTCCCACCATGAACCCACTCCCCAAAGTGACCTCAAGATAGAAATGAGATTATGTCAGTCCTAACCCTGTTTCCCTGGAATGGCTTCCTCTCCCACTTAAAGTCCAGATGCATGCCCAAAGCTTGGTACCCAAGCCCTGCACAGCCTGGGCCCAGCTGCCTCCTGCCTTTGGCTCACAGAGGCTTCCTTCCATTCATAGCACAGACCCAGCACTCCTTGCCCTCAGGGTTTCTCTCCCCAGGAAGTACCTGATGTTCCCTCTCTATCAGGACAGACTCCCACAGTCCACCAGGTCTCAGCTGCCATCTCCCTCCACAGAGAGGTCTGCCACAAACTCACGTACACGTGTGCGTGCTGCCTCCACCTGTCTCTCATTTGTGTTTACCTTAGCCTGAAATCATGCATTGGTGGGCTCACCTCTTTCTGTGTGTGTCCCCTCCATAGAAGGGAGAGTTGATGTTTCTGTCTTAATCACTGTTCTGGACTCAGCCCAGCACATGGTACACAGCAGGTCCTCTTGCACACGTGACTGTTGGTCAAGCTGGAATCTTCTCTCCCTGCTGCCTGCCCGAGCACTAAATCCCCGCCAGCCTCAAACGATAGTATGATTCCAGCAATGCTTGCACCTCCTAGGATTCCATTCAGCCAGGACATCTCCACCTCAGCCTCTTGATTTAAACTGACCAGATCAAGCTGGATCCACCTGTCCCCTTGCAAGTCTACACTGTGGACTGCCTGGTTGCCTCTGGAGGATCAGGCCCTGCTCCTCCATGAGAGTCCTGGCTCCCACTCCAGGTCCCCCTACTCATTGAGGCCCCAGACATGCTTGCATTATGACAACTTGAAGGTAGATTCCAGATATTAAGGATTTAAGTGTCATAAATGTCTAGAAGGGATTCCACGTGGCAACGACCAGATCAATTATTGGGTCCAGGAGGCCTAGCGTGGATGCCATAGCTCCACGTAGCCTGAGTTGAAGCACTCTGTTTAGACTCTCTGACCTTCAGGATCACTGTCTGTGAAAAGGGAGTAGCAATGCTCACTAGCTGAGCATTATATTTCAGGATATAAGCAATTACTGAGTTCAACAAATGAGCATTATCACTATAAAAGAGAACAGATGAGAACCTCAGAGCGAGAGAAGAGCTTTCCCAAGGTAAAGCTGATCTGCCTGTAGGGCTGACAGATTGCAAAAAACATCTCTATTTTCTACGCAAACCTGTACTGACCTCCACCCTGCAGTGCTACTCTGCAGTCCCTCCCATCAGAGGGGAAGGAAGCCTGATGACTGCCAAATGCTGCAGAAGTGGGCACTGAGCAGTTCTGAGCCTCGGCCCAGGCTTCTGCTCACCCTCCTGGGATCCTATGATGTGCCACGTGCACAGGCCCAGGGTACACTCCCAGAGGATGAGGATCCCACAGCCCAGCCACACCTACAACCCCAGCCAAACAACCACCTTTTCGGCTTGATCAGCCCCCACCTGCCAGTCCATCTTGGGTGCTTGCACAAGCCACAGTCTCATCTGCTGGGCCCACTCTGGATCAGCTGACCCACAGATTCATGTGCAAAAACAAATGCTGTTTTAAGTCAAAGGGTTTTAGGGTGATTTGCTATGCAACCAGTTCTAGCTGACAGTCATGTGAGTGTGACTAAGTCTTTCAATTTGTTCTTAAATCGGACAGTAAATCAATGAGGTGGAATTACTTAACACACATTGAGAAGGCCTTATCTGAAATGTTTGAGGCTGGAAGAGTTTCACTTTGGAGGTTTTCAGAGCTTGTACTATTTGCATAGCCTTCACCAGTTAGACACTGTGGATTCAAAACCCTGAACTGCCAGCATCATGTCCATTCTCAAAAATGTTTTGGATTTTAGAACATTTGAGATTCTGGATTTTCAGGTTCGAAATACACAATCTGTACCTTAGTTCAGTAAATGTTTTGTCTGCACTATATCAGTAGTACCCCTGGAGCCTCAGTAACAGAGAATAAAGCAATTCCGTTCATTGATGAGCGGTTAGCCACACCCCAGGAACAATTCTGTGTGTTTTATAGCCTCCTAGGAATACTTTTGGTCCCACAGTGACATGCATGGAAAGCCTACCCTCACAAATCTGAAAACTGTACCCAGGAAGCTTAAGCAATGTGTTGTGAGACATGCCGCTACCAGGCGGAGCGGTGGGTGTGAATCCAGAAAGGCAGGCTTCCAAGTCTAGTTCCTCTGGCTCCCCTCACTGCAGGAAGCCTCCTTCTCAGAGGGGCATCCCCCCTAGCCCTCCATCCTGTGAGGCTGCCAGAGCAAGGGGCACTTTGTGTTCAGTCCTCACATGCCCCATCAGCCCCCTTGCCCAGACAAAGCAAGCAAACCACAGGCATCTGTTTCCTCTTTCTGGTGCTCGTGGAACTAGGCCAGGAGGATTCCAAGTCTGTGAAAAAAACAGAGGTTATTGGTCCCCCTGCCTGGGTCCAGTATACCTTTCTGCTTCATCAAGTCCTGGCTGTCTCTTAAGTCACTGAGGGAGAAACTCAGCAGGTTTGACCATGCTTTCTGGAAATACTGGCACCCCTCCTGAGTCATGCCGATTTCAAGACACAGCTCTCCAGTAGCATTCTGTACTTTAACAAGCATCTCATTCGTGGGCGGACTCTGTACAAAATAGAAAGGAAATCACTCCTGAGGAAACACGGCATTAGGAAGGTACAGCTGCCAGATGCCTGCCCACAACAGGCTCCTTTCATGAAGACCTTAGAAAAGATGGCATGCATGATGTCAAAACAACGGATTACAGCAAAATCATTGTTGGGAGGCATTGCAAAATTATGAAAATACATTTGGGAAAATGTTTTCACAGGTAAACAATACACATGCTCCAAGAATAACAAGACAATGTCTTATACATGTTAATGGCTCAATGCAGCACTCACAGTTACTTAAAGATACAAATTTAAATTCTGCTATTGGTCAACTGTATTTCCCTCAGGAATCCTTCAATTTTGTTAACAGTAATCACTCCTCTATCACACACATCCTGGACCAAACCTGACCCAAACCTGATACTTGCCTGCCTTTTCTTCTTCCTGTTTACTAACAAACATCTCAAATTGATCTCCAAGTGTGAGTCTGCTCCCTCTGAAAGCCCCAACTTCTGGCCCTCTAGCTTCTCCCACACGCCTGTGTTATCCTGGAGGCGCTCACTCGTCCACTCCCTCACTTAGGGCCTTCTCTGGTCCTCCTTTGTTCAGCGCCCTGGGCAGCCCTGGGAGCTGCTGGCCACTCTCTCCCTGATGTGGGGAGACTCCAGCCTGATTCTCTCCTGACCTCTCCTACAGGAGCACTTCGTGTTTCCGCTGACAGCTTCAGCATTCCCATGTTTGTAGATGGCTTCCTGGTCTCTTTCTAGATCACCAATCCTAAATTTTCCTGAGTTGGCTGAACACTCCCCTGCAGAGTCTTCCTAGACTGCCAACTCACAATTTCTAGAACTCACCATCTTCCTTTCCAAATTCACCTGTCTCGTTGAATTTCCCCCACTCTACCAACCAGACTTCAATTCTTGGGGTTTCATTGCTTCCCCCTGTATTCCATGCTTCCCTTCAGTCTGAGAGAGACGGAAGCCCATCACAGGGAATCCGACAGCTGTCTAATCACGCTCCAGGCCACAGTCCTCCTTCCACCTCTTGGTTGGTCTTTCTGCATTGCTGGCAATGCCCATGAGCATGTCACATGTGGCCCTTTATGGGCGGCTTTCTCTTTCTGAATACATAGCTTTCATCTCCCTCCTCCTTCCCTGGACTATCCACCCCTTGAAAACTGGTACCCTTTAAGACATTCAGTAATACGTCTTGACCTTCACAATGACTGTAAAAGTTTGTACTGGATCTCAGGTCTGTGCTAGCCACCATCTCTGGAACACTGATGAAATTCTTGCACATACTTAGAGAGCAGAGCCTATACTGCTCTATTACATGGGAAAACCAAGGTTTAAATCAATGGCTCAGCTTCACATGGCTGATCAGTAGAAGAGCAGGGGAGTCCAGCCCAGACCTGTCTGTCTCCAAAATACTGTTTTGCACATTTTATTTTTTTTTGAAAAAGAATTCTTTATTATTATCAGTGGAAAGGCAGATTTGCAGAGAGAAGGAAAAGAGAGCAAAAAAGAGGTTTTCCATTCACTGGTTCACTCCCCAAGTGTCCACAACAGCCAGAGCTGAGCTGACCTAAAACTGGAGCCAGGAATCTCTTCTGCATTTCCCATATGGGTACAGGGTCCATGCTTGACTGTTTTGGGACTCCACTACTTTTTCAAGCCACAGGCAAAGAGCTTAGTGGGAAGCGGAGCAGTAGAAACATGAACCAGCGCCCATATTGGGCGGCTGGCACTTGCAGGCAGAGGATTAACCAACTGAGCTACATGTCAGCCTCTGCACAATTTCTTTTTATTTTTTTCAGAGTTGATTTGCTTTTACAAACTATTTCTTTTTACATTTCATTTTATGACACCGTTTCATAGGTTCTGAGGTTCCCCCAATCCCTCCCCAAACCCTCTCCCCTTGGTGGATTATTCCACCTTATTGCAGTATTATAGTTCAAATCCAGTCATGCTTCTTTCATTGCAAGCATGTACCATGCATAGAGTCCAGCATCTTATTGTCCAGGTCAATTCAACAGTTTCTTGGGGAGACCATCTCTGGTCTGAAAGCAGAGTTGGCAGAATATTGTCCCGATCAATTAAAAGCCATAACATAACATCAACAACAGTTTACAACATTATGGAGTTAACTGACATGGTATAGAGTGACCGATATGTGAGAACATGCAAGTTCTTAACCACATCCTGTGACTTCCTAATTGATATTTCTATTTTGGTTTATACACAACCAGCTGTTATACACCTTAAAATGGCTATAGGGTACTATCCAGCCGTCTCGTGTTTATTTTCATTTCTGTATTTAGCAGTTTATAGTGTTGAAGCATAATTTTAACTGAACTTGGTGGATTTTAGGATAGTCCAAACTGGCTTATAACTTTAACAAGGCATATATCAACAATTGAAGTGCAGAAAAGTTTTAGGAGGGGCACCCGGCACAATTTCTTAACAGGAGAGCCGCTGCCTGGTGCAGAAACCCCTACCCAAATGTGTCTTGGATTTTTCTGCTGCTGATGTGCCTACTCTGAAATGCAGGGGCGACATGAGAAAAACTGAGACCTTTTTAACAAACAGACCATTTACATCAGGATTTCTCACCCCCAGAACCACCGGCATCTGGGGTGTGAGAACCCTGTGCTGTGAGCACTGTGCTTTAAAGAATGTTTGGTGGCATTCATGGGCTCTACTCAACAGGTGTGAGCAGCAGTTATCAGCCCAAGCTGTGACAACCAAAAGTGGCTCCAGCACTGCCAAGTGTTCCCATATGAATGAAATCTGCAAACCACTACGTTCAATTTTAAAACCACCTGGGGGCCTGTGCTATGGTGTAGTAAGTTAAGCTTCCACCTGCAGTGTTAGAATATCATATGGGCACTGGTTCAAATCCCAGCTGTTCCCTCCTGATCCAGCTCCCTGCTAATGTACCTGGGAGGGCAGAAGAAGATGGTCTAAGTGCTTGGACCCTGCACCCATTGGGAGACCCAGAAAGCAGATCCTGGCTCCTAGTTTCTGATCATCCCAACTCTAGCCATTATGGTCATCTGGGGAGTGAACCAGCAGATCTCTATCACTCCTTCTCTCTGTAACTCTGCCTTTCAAGTAAAATAAATAAATCTTTGAAAGAAAGCACATCTGATCTGCAGAAATTACAAAAACAGCATTGGACAGGATGCACCTATCACAAATAGCAAGCTTTTTTCACTCAAAAATGCAAGGCACATATTTCAAAGGAGTTGTGATTGCCTAAAATAGCTATATAACTTCGCAGTCTAGAAAACATTCTTTTAATAGTCTCCACCATGGCTCAAAGAACTGTTGCAAAAATATTTTGAGAACAGAATCACAAGATTGATGCCTGCAGAAGGAGCACGTGGAGGCAGGGCATTCTTGCTGCATGTCTCAGCCCTGGCATGCCTCCTGCCAAGCCAGCCTCACCCCTTTGAGACCACGCATCTCACAGCTTGTTCTTCCTCTGTGACAGTGCATCCTGTGCGACTGGGAGTTCTATTAGGACAGGGATCAGCTGCCTGGATGAATGCTATCAGACCTCTGCATGGTACTCGGGGTAGGCCAAGCCTTCAGTGAGTGTTCCCTGCATGAATGAATGGCTGTGGATGGCTGGATGACTGGCTAGATCCAGGCATTTCAATGAGAACTAATAAAAAATAAGTGTGCTTTCCAGACAAGTGAATCTCAGAGATGGGAAGTGACTGTGGCAGGGGACAGCTCCATGGTTTTAAAGCAATACCACTGTACTCTCTGAAGAGGAACAATTGTTCAAAAGAGCTTACATCAAATTCATTATTTCTAACCTAGGCCTCAGACAGCAATATCAGAATCCCTACAGGACTTAAAGTCTCCCTGATGCCAGACATTGTGCAAAGGTTCTATGCCCTTTTTCATTTGACCCTTGTAATGGCCCATGAGACAGACAACAGAATCCTTGAAAATGAGAACTCACTAGGGTAGCAGAGGTTAAAATGCTTACCGAGGTAGCACAAGCAGTAAGGGCAGCACGGGGATTGAAATCTGGGCCAGGCTAAAAAGAGTCCTGGTCCCACTAGCTGCTGCATCCCACTTTCCAAGGACATGAAGGAATTTGATTCATTGAACAAATGGATTGGTTCATCAAGCATCTGCAGATTATAATATGCCGTGGAGGATTTAAAAAATTGGTAAACAAGCATTTTCCCTGCTATAAAGGGAGTTGCAATGTTGAGAATTCCTTCTATAAATATGTGCTGATAAGAGCAGAAGTAATGTCTTATGAAAATTTGAAGGTCAGGGCCAGCATTGTGGCTGAATAGATTATGCCATTTCATGCAATAACAGCACTTCATAGCAGAACGCTAAGCCCAGTCACAGCTGTTCCACTGTTGACCCAGCATCCTGCTAACACACCTGGGAAAGCAGATGGTGGCCCACGTGCTTGGATCCCTGATACCCATGTGGAAATCTGGACAGGGTTCCAGGCTCATGACTTTGGTTTGGCCTAGCGCTGACCAATGAGCCACTTGGGGAATAACCAGCCAGCAGATCTCTTTCTGTCTCTGGTAGCACCTAACGGGGAGGATCAGCCAACTGAGCCACTGCGCCAGGCCCTGGCCAGTCTTCTCAATGCCATTTCAATTTACCATTGTATTTCTCTTTTTGCTTTATGAACATTGTTTCTTCCAAAGTTATAATTGCATGTATTCATTAATTCTAGAAGGATTTCTATATATTTATGCTTGCTGTCATTAATATATAGTTTAGGACATAGGTTAAAATTACAGCTTCCAGTGCTGGTGGCGTGGCACCTCAGGTCAAGCCATCTCTGGGACTCAGGCATCCCCTGTGAGTGCTGATTCAAGTCCTGCTTCTCCACTTATTTTCCAGCTTCCTGCTAATGTACCTGGGAAAGCAAAAGGTGACCCAAGTTCTTCAGCTCCTGCAACCCATGTGGAAGACACCCCCCTTTGGGTGTATGTGTGTGTATGTGTGTGTTTCACTAATTCTACCTTTCAAAACAAAGAAATAATTTTTTTAAAAAAATCATAGCTTGATGGTTGAATCACTAGTGGGAATGTCCACATCCTACTGGAATTTCTGAGCTTACTTCCTAGCTCCACTTTACTAGCTACCCAGTTCTTACTAATGCAGACCCTAGAGGCAGTGGTGATGGCTTAGGTGGTTGGGATTCTGCTACCATCCTGACAGACCTGGTTTGAGTTCTCAGTTCCCAACTCCTGCCTTGGGCCCAACTTTGGCCTTTGAGAGCATCTGGGGAGTAAGCAATAGAGGAGGTTGTTCCATCTCTAGCTACCTATGTATCTATATCTTTATCTACCTACCTATCCTATCACTGCCTCAAATACATAAATTAAAAAAAAAAGTCATGGCTTCTTCAATAGTGACCAAAATCAATCAGTTTGTCTCTCTTTGGACCAGACTACAAAGAAAAGGAAATGATAGCTCATCACATCAGACACAAGAGGAACAAGATCCAGGAGACTGCAACTTCATCTCACTTTACCTCCATTAACATCTTCTCCACATCCATGAACAACTCTTTGGCTTCATTGGTCTTGCCCATAACCTTCAAAAGACTCCCAATAAAGAATAGCAAACGGCACCTGTCAGCGGCAGTGGTTTCAGAAAGTCTGGATTCCAGCGCTAAAATAGAAAAAATAGTAAATCATCCTAGAGCCTATATAGAAAGGAGCAAAGATTATTCATTGCTAGTTGATCCACGAATCAAACAGCCTCTCCATATTTTGGTTTCTTTTTCAAGATAAGAGCATTTTGCTTTTATTAAGGCTTACATACACCACAAAGCATTTTAAACTACAGTATGACAAATAACTAGAGTGCTTATAAATCATCTTAACATGTAAATTTTGAAAACCAGAGGGTCAAAAAAGAGCATTTGGGTAGTTCAATTCACGTTTCGCAATGATTTGTATTTTGGGATAATTTTTATCCTGGAAAAAAAAAAGAGGTTTCTACTTTTTGTACAATTCTGCCCTCTGTTGCAATCATCTTGAATTACCAGATTTAACAGAAAGAAAACATTAAAAGAACAAAATTGAGAGTATATGCAGCGTGTGTGTGTGTAATTTATACACAACAAAATACAGAATTTTTGAATTTAAAGGCATATTTTAAATCCACAGTGCTACAAACGCATCACTCAGAATTCTTCTTCTAAACTTCTATATTCATTTATTACTTTTCAAATGATTGTGTCTAATGTGTTCTTGAAGCAAGCATATTCCTATTCTGTACCCATTCCTTCATCATGTTGCAGACCAGCCCAACCTTACACACTCCACTTTCCTTTGGTTTGCTGTTCCGTAATCACATTCCTGTCTAAGGAAACATGCAGTGAGCCCCTTGTGTCAGGCAGCATTCTAGGCTCTGTGCAGGCAGTGAGGGCTGACAGCCTCTGCACAGTGTGGTGCTGTAAGGTACAGCAAAAATGGAAACAGTGCCAATGGGGAGACAGTGCTGAGGTCAGAGTACAGGACAACTGCCCAAAAGCGGTTGTCCAGGCAAAAGAACCTGGAGGCATGGAGGAACAATGAGAACCCAGGGGAGGAACTCCTAGGCAGAACAGCTGCTCAGAGCAAACAAGGGGGGTCTGGATGAGCAGCGGAGGGAAGGGTTTCTGCCAGCGCAAGGTCTTTGCCCACTCCAGAAGGATAATTAAGATCACATTCCTGCCACGGGCTCCGACTAGAGTGGGTGACGCCCACCGCTCCACTTATTATCACTCCATTCGACCAACAACCATGCTACAAGGAATCTTTTTTTTAAGAGAATTTTATTTTGTGCAAATGTTTTTTTTAAGATTTATTTATTTTTTTAAGATTTATTTTTATTATTTTTTTAATTGGAAAGGCGGATATACAGAGAGGAGAGACAGAGAGGAAGATCTTCTGTCCGATGATTCACTCCCCAAGTGAGCGCAACGGGCCGATGCTATGCCAATCCGAAGCCAGGAGCCTCTTCTGGGTCTCCCACGCGGGTGCAGGGTCCCAAAGCTTTGGGCCGTCCTCGACTGCTTTCCCGGGCCACAGGCAGGGAGCTGGAAGGGAAGTGGGGCTGTCGGGATAGAACTGGTGCCCATATGGGATCCCGGGTGTGCAAGGCGAGGACCTTAACCACTTGCGCCACCGCGCCGGGCCCTACAAGGAATCTTCATTCATGAGCTCTACTTCCCTCTCTCAGAACAAATAAGAATGTGATGCTTTTGACATTAAAACTCATATTGTACATTTTAGAAAATCTGCAGAACCATGGAAAATTTTAATACTATAATTTCATCAAAATAATCTATGAACATATTGCCAAGTGTATATCTGATATTACATATGTACCCATACATACATGCACAGATATATAACCTGAACAGAATTAAAGCTGGGATCACCCTGCTCAGAATGTTTAATATCTACATGGAATGTTGAATACCTGCATAATATTTAATATCAACATTTACATGTAAGTATCATGCTAGATGCTGGATATCTATCAAGTATGATATGCATGAATCCTACTCTGACTATAGTCCCCTGGAAGCCCAGAATGAACATTTCCCATATCCCTACCCTAACTACTTTTTGAAAACACAAATCTTATGGCCAGGCTGTATTCCATTTAACAGATGAGCAAACTTAGTCAATTTTTCACTATTATAAAGTATCATCTATTAACACAAAAATCTTTTAAAATATTCCTTATTTCCTCAGAACATAAAAATTTTCACATAAATTTTTAAAACCACAGAATATTAATATTTTTTATTTTGGATATGTATTGCCAAATTTCTCCCCCAGAAAGACTGGCCAAATATAAATCTATATCTAAAGCAATTAGAAGACCTACTTCCTCACACTTTTATCATTTATAATAGAATGTGGTTGTATATTTATTAACAATTTAGACCATTTTCATCGACTCTTAAGATGCTATAAATTTCCCCCCACTGAAGGCAACTGTCCAGGTTGCACTGTTCCTAGACAAGTATTACACTGCTGGGAGAAAAGCAGCTAAAAGCTGATGGGCCTGGCTAATGCCAAATCTGTGTTAACTATACCAGTGTGCCAACACAGTTCCCTACTGTATATTTTTAAAGATATGTGGGGACATACTCTGGCACACCAGCACACAGGGTCTGAGGACTTGTGTATAAGTATGTGTGGGTCCTGGGTAAACAGGCAGGGCCCCAGGCTGGCATGGCACACCGCCAGAGAACCAGGTATGGGGATCTGCATGTTTCCAAGCAGGGAAGCCTAGGGATAATGCAGTGAGTGGGCCTGGTAAGGAAACTGTAGGGACTCCTCTGTAGGGTTGCAGCTCCCACTGGTGAGCCTGGGAACCAGTGCTGGGAGTGGAACTGGCTGCACAGGTGGTGGCACCCATGGGAATGAATGTGGACTGGACAGTGGGATCATTTGGGTTGAGCTAACCTCCAACACCCATCAATGTGCACTAGAGCCAAATGGGATGCGGTATGGACTGGACCAGTCTGCTGCACATACAGCATGTGCAGGAACCTGGGCTGGGGTGGGCCCGGTGAGAGACACTGGGGGTAGTTCCAACTAGACTGCAGTTTCTGCTGGTGTGCATGAGGGCTGAGGGTGTGGTGGGCAGTGGTTGGATTAACTGACCCAACAACTGCAATCACCAGCGTGTGTGTAGGCTGATGTGGGTGAAAGATAGAGCCAGATCCCACACTGGCTGGCACAAACAGGAGTCTGGTTGAGGTCATGCCCGGTGAAATTTCTTTGGGAGCTCCCCAAATGGGCCACTGGACTCAAATCTCCAACCACAGTGACAATCACAGGATCTGTGGTCAAATCATGGAGTTCATGAGTCAGAATTGGGCCTCAGTTGTGTAAGACGGCACAGCGGATGGCATGCCCAGATGCACATGGAGGATATCAGTGTCCATTGGGACCTGGAGATGACATCTAGTACAATGGAAAGCAGAATAAATTGGACAGCTCTCCTGGTCAAGCTTTGACAGCAAGTACATGAACGAACTGAGACTCTAAACTGGACTATGTTAGCAAACGGATGGGATTTCCTCAACCTTGGAGCAACAAAATCAACAGCATCGCAGAACTATCAAAACTACTTAAGCAGCACCCTCAGAATATGCTCCACAACGAGGTGCCTGAGATAACATTGGAGGGCCTTCCGCCATTCGTGGGTATGAAGCGGTTGGCTGCTAGGAGTGGCCCTCTCTCCTTTTCTCCCCCTTTCCCCAGATTCCAGAAGAAAAAGGAGATTGGAGGCAGTTTTCTCATCCACTTTGTCCCATTTCTCGACCCTCCCTACACAAGTCAATGGTCCACAAGGGCATGTATCCCTCCTCTCAACTATGCAAACATCATCCAAAATAATATGAATTTATAGGACCCAGCATGGTAGCCTAGTGGCTAAAGTCCTCTCTTTGCATGTGCTGGGATCCCATATGGGCGCTGATTCCTGTCCTGGCAGCCCTGCTTCCCATCCAACTCCCTGTTTGTGGCCTGGGAAAGCAGTCAAGGATAACCCAAAGCCTTGGGACCCTGTACCCACATAGGAGACCCAGACAAATCTCCTGGCTCCTGGCTTCAAATCGGCTCAGCTCTGGCCATTGCAGCCACTTGAGGAGTGAATCAGTGGACGGAAATGTTTCTGTCTCCTCCTCTCTGTATATCTGACTTTCCAATAAAAATAAATCTTTTTTTAATTGTACGAATTTATTATTTTAAACAGATGCTATCAATTTCAAGATACATTGCAAAAAGGTTAAGTTTTGAAAAAGCAGGCATTTTAGAACCAGTGAGATCTGTTATTTCCTTCTTCAGTGAATACATTCCTCCAACAGCCATTTACTGAACACCATTAGTATCTACCACAGACTAGGAACTGTCCTACATGCACCCACATGGGATGCCAGTACTTGGAGGTGGAGGGCTAAGGAGTTAAGCCATCACACTGGCCCCTGACTACAAGTCTTTGAGATAAGATGGGAGAGGGAGTGTTGGGAGTTCTGATTAGAGGGAATGGTTGTGTGAAGGACCCAGGCCAGCAGAACGCATGGAGCTGAGGAGACTGGAAGAAGGGCAAGGGCCTTTGGGCCAAGGTAGGGATAGAGAAGTGGGAAGGGATGCACTCCTTACCCAACAAGAGAGGAACTAACACTTCCAGTGCCCACAAGGTTTGGGTCAGAGGACGGGGAGAAAATTGAAAGATTTAGAAAATTAAAATAAAAAATAAATCAAGACAATATCACATAGCAATGAAGACTATGCAAAGAATTACAACACAGTCACATGACAGAGGATAGTCTTACATCATATTGTGGAAGCTACTCTGAGAAAGTAACACTCCAGCTGCAATCCAGAAGTGCCGGCACTGCAGGCTAAGGGCCCCTTATCCAAAATGCTTGGGATGAGAAGTGTTTCAGATTTAAGAGGTTTTCAAATTCTGGAATGTTCACATAGACTTTTCCAGTTGAGCACCCTGAATTTGAAAATCCCAAATCCAAAACTTCTGTGTATCATGTTGGTGCTGAGTGTTTCGTATTTTACAATACTTGGGATTTTGGATTGTGGGAATAGAGATGTTCAGCCTGTATCAATATGAATCAAAAGGCATTCTCATTAAGAGGGAATACACAGGGTCTGGCACAATGGTCTAGCGACTAAAGTTGTCACCTTCCATGCACCGGGATCCCATAATCCTGGCAGCCCCACTTCCCAGCCAGCTCCCTGCTTGTTGCCTGGGAAAGCAGTTGAAGATGGCCAGGGCCTTGGGACCCTGCACCCACGTGGGAGGAAGAGTCTCCTGGCTTCAGATTGGCTCAACTCCAGCTGCTGCAGCTGCTTGGGAGTGAACTATCAGATGGAAGAGCTTCCTCTCTGTGTATCTGCCTTTCCAATAAAAATAAATAAATATTTTTTAAAAAGAGAGAGAGAGAATGACACAGCATGCTAATCTTTGATCTGTGGCACCTGCATCCCTTAGTGGCACTAGTTCATATTCCAGCTGCTCCACTTCTGATCTAGCTTCCTGCACAAGGTCTGAGAAAGCAGTGAGACCTGGAAGAAGCTCTTGGATCCTGACTTCAAAATCAGCTCAGCTTTACCTGAGAAAACTAGTGGATAGAAGATCTGTCTCTCCTTCCCTCTCTCTATAAAATCTGCCTTTCAAGTCAGAAAAAAAAAAGTGAACACCCAGTGCCAAGGTCCCAAAGGCTACAGTAGACAGCAGATGTGGATGCCACACAGAGGTCATTAGAGGACTCTTACAAGATGGCGCTGTCAGCTCTAATACAATGGTTCAATGGCTCACCTTGTAAGTACTGGGACTGCATATGGGCACCAGTTCATGTCCCAGCTGCTCCACTTCCCCTCCAGCTCCCTGCTTGTGGCCTGGGAAAGCAGTCGAGGATGGCCCAAAGCCTTGGAACCCTGCACCCAAGTAGAAGGCCCAGTAGAAACTCCTAGCTCCTGGCTTCAGATTGGCTCAGCTCCGGCCACTGCAGCCATTCAGGGACTGAACCAGCAGGTGAACGATCTTTCTCTCTATCTCTCCTTCTCTGTATAAATCAAATCTGCTTTTCCAATAAACATTTTTTTAATCTTTAAAAAAAGAAAAGAAAAAATAGTACTATTAATGCATACAAAATCCAGACTACATGAGAAATGCAGGCTAAGCTAAGAAGTTGCTCTGTAAGTGCAACTGCAAGCTATCAGAACAGTCCTGATTTAGGGAAAGAAATTACCTGGTTTACAGCTTACAAATTCATTCCATCTACCATGTGGTAGACCACGGGCTTTATAGAAATAGAAACTAAATTAGGAAGACGAATAAGGGAGCTACTAAAATAGGCCCTAGGAGAATTAATAATGGTGGCTTTGATTCACCATCGTGATGCTAGTGACAAATTTAGGTTTCAATAGCCCCTCTTCCCATTCTTGCTCAACATCACACTGATGGTCCAAGCTAATGCAATATGACAGAGGGAAAAATGCATACATAATGCAAAGGAAGGAATAAGACCGCCTTTGTTCACAAATGATATGACCGTTTATGTAGAGAATTACAAAGAATCGAGAAAAAAATTTCCTGGATCCAACAAGCAATTATAGTGGGGCTGACAGATACAAAGTTGGTGTGCAAAACTCAATTATTTTCCAATACGCCAACAATAGACAACTGTAATTAAAATTTTTAAATATAGTACCAACTATAATAGCACCAAAATTAAATATCTTGGTATAACTCAAACAAAATATAGAAAGGTTCCACATGCAGAAAATCACAAAACTGATGAAACATATCAAAAAAAAAATCTAAAATAAATGAAGAGATAACCCCTGCTGATAGAACACTCAATACCATTAAGCTATACAACCTTCTCAACTTGATATAAGCATTTAGTGTTACTCCAGTCAAAATCCTAGCCGTCTAGTATATGGATTTTGATAAACTGATTTTGATCTTCATACAAAAAAGGCAAAAGTCCCAGAATATTTATTAAAGCTGACAGCTCCGAATCTGAAAACCTTAAATCCAAAAAGTCAGAGCACTTCATATTTCATATTTTCACACTAAAATAGATGTTCAACTAGTAAAATCTATGGCAATATTGCAAGATCCAAAAATTCTAAAATCTGAAACTCTTCTCATCCCAAGCATTTCAGATAAGGGATATTCTACCTGAATTAATTCCCTAATTTCCTCTTAGAGTAAATCACTACAAACTCAATCCAGTTTCCCATGTGGGTAGCAGGAATCCAACTCAGCGCTGCCTCCCAGCACACACATCAGCAGGAAGTTGAATCAGAAGCAGAGGAACGAGGACAATAATCAGGCACTCCAACATGAGACACAAACATCCCAGTGACTCTGACCACTGCTCCAAACTCTCGCCACCCCCACAGTGGTCATTTAAAACTAAAGGTATTGCCATCTTGCTCAAATTCCAGAGGCATCCCACTACTCTTAGGGTAAGGATTGACTGTGTACCATATCTCTCCCCATGTGGGCTCCTACCTGATGCTGTAGCCCCAGGAGTATCCGCATGCCACTCGCTTGGTTCTACAAATTTGCTGCTCTCACAACAAAGACCTCTTTCTGCTCCTCTTCCTCACTTTTTCAGATTCAAGGCAACATTACACTAAGCTCCTTGCCACAACTCTGTACCACTCCTCTCAGGATCAATGCTTTTTAACTTTTTAAAAATATTTATTGGTTGGTTGGTTTTATTTGAAAGGCAGAAGAGAGAGAAAGAGAGAAGAGGAGGAAGGGAGAGAGAGAGAGACAGAGAGAAGGAGAGAGAACACAACCTTCCATTTGCTGGTTCATTCCTCCAAGTAGACACAATGGTCAGAACCGGGTTGGTCAGGAGCAGGGGCTTCTTCCAGGTCTCCCATGTAGGTACAGGGCCCCAGCCAAGCATTTATGCCATCCTCCGAAGCTTCCCCAGGTACACTAGTATACTAGGGAGATGGATCCGAGGTGACCGAGCCTGGCCTCAAACTGTTGCCCATTTGAAATGCCAGCCTGCCACAGCATTGGCCCCAGTTGTTAAATCCTGACCATAAGTTCCATGAAGGTGGGCACCGTGTTTCTCTTATCCAACGCTGTATCCCTGACATCTAACACCATGCCTAGCATGGTGCAGGCACTCAGTACACACTGCCGAATTACTCTGAAGGAGTGAAAGCACTTGCCCACAGGAGAACAGGATGAATTAGCAAGCAACTCCCAGGATTACAGAATATAAAACAGCATTTCTCCAAAAATTCTTTGGAGAAAAATGAAAATACATATTTTTTGGAGAATAATCCAGTTCATGCTCTTCCTTCAAGGAGTGCCTGGGGAGTAGACTGATTCAGGCCATGCATGATTACATAATCATGCAGAAAAAAAATCTGGAGGGAGACCCCAAGAGACAGCCAGACACCGCTAGTGCATTTTCTGTGGCTATGATCTGGGAATCTAATTAATCTAGTCCATAAAGTACAAAGGAATTCCACACAGTTCTGGGCAGACTTCTGGGAGACCCCCCAAATGGCTGAGGGTACAGGGGGAGTGCAGCCCAAAGAGCTACAGGAAGCAGTGCACCTTGATCATTATGGTAACAGGTGTGGAGAGATGAGAAAATGGGATGAGAGGCTTTGTGGGAAGGGAATTTATAGGACCTGGGCAGGACCGGACATGAGGGCAGGGAGAGAGAGAAAGTAACTGTGGAGGCCAAGGCTGCCTGCTGCGAGGCTCCTGAGGGTCGGGCTAACCCAGAGACTAACAGGCAGCCTCTCGGGTGCAACTACAGACATGCTTTCAGAGCCACCAGAACAGTCCCAAAGGTGTCTCCTGCCTAAATCAAAAGGACGCATTCCTAACTAGAGATCTCCACACACTGAAATTACGAAACCATGAAATACAAATTATGGCCACTCCCTATGCCAGTGAAGTGAGCAGCTGAATGAGGCTACTCCACATACCTGAGAACGTATATCTCTTCTGGGCTTTGTGACACTCATTCGCTTTGATCCTGGTCACGGAGAGTAAGTAGGCCCAAGATGCATCGTATCCGGCTTCCGAGAGGTTCTTCCAGTAGTGCAGGAGCTGCAGCCTGGTCCAGAAGCTCGGGCTCTGGAGCCTTGACATAAAGTCTGTGATGCTTGTGACACAAGGTAATAGTAGAGTCATTTTAGTGTCTCATGCCTTGACAGAAGCTATTCCTTTACTTGTGCATCTCATCAGTTTATTCAGAGATGTCTTACCTACCATGATTGTCTTAGGCCACCAGATAAACATCAGCCTTTTCCTCTTTGACAGTCAGAAACAATTTACATCTCTCCAGCATGTCCCTTCCTCCAGGTACGCCCCCTGGATCTTCCAGGCAGAGCTCTTCTCTGTCTGCTTCAATAACTGATTTCCTCATTGTTCTAATGAAGCATTTACTGCCGTGGGTAGCAGCTCTTTGCTTCTAGATTTTCCCCCATCAGAAGAAAAGTATCTAAGGGCTTGGGTTGTATCTTAGTCACTTTTGCACCCCAGGACCTCATATGGTGTGGGATGCTAGGTAAGTCAATAACAGATAGATGCTGAACTAATGCATAAAATGGAAAGAATGAAGAGGTGGGAAAGAAAGGGAGGTGGGGCAGTAAGAAGGAGAGAAGGAATACCAGGGAGAGGAAAAGGGGATGGAAAAGGGATGGGAGGGAAGGGCAGGGAAAGGCAGAGAAGGGATGATGTGGGCGATCACCCCTGTATCTCCACCTGCCTAGCCTATATGGGAAGCCATAGGCACACGGCACACTGTGCTCTTGGCAGAGATCCCAACATGGCCTATTCACTGGGCATACAGCAAAAGCAATGGGCGACGGGCTGTATCCCAGTCTCCCTTCTCTGCCCCTTTAACGAACTGTGCTAGAGCTTCCTTTGTAAACAACTCTAGGAAGTCAAACGTTGCATTCACCCTGCTTTTCAGCAGGTAATGAGTTTGCCCTGAGACACAGCATCCTGTGCTTCTTTCATTGGAGGGTTCAGAGAGACAGACATATCTGATAGCCAGTCACAATGTTGTTGTTGGCTGCAAGTACTGTCGGACCACCCTTCTGTCGGCCCCCTTCTCCTATGTAAGCTTGTGATTTCTCTCAAATACAGAGACATTCTTCACCACCAGTTTGTCTTCAGTGTTTCTGCTGCAGAAGAACACTGTCATCCCACCCCTCGGTGGTCTTAGGGCCTGCTGGACAGAAGGCCCCAAAGAGGATAGGGAGAAAAGAATAGCAGAAAAGGATGGGGGGGCGGGAGGAGGAAAGCAGTGGAACAGAGTCACTCCATCCTCTTCAGCCCTGGCCTTGGCCTCCTCTCTGAGCAGACCACTTAACTCTGAGAGGGCATCTCCACCAAGCGAAAAAGGAGAAAGAACACTTTGTAGGGGAAACAGGTACAACAAAGCAACCCAGGGGACCCATCAATCCCAGAAGCTCGTATCAGATGCTGATCTCAGCTGAATGAGTAAATTGGCAGTTCAATGAATGAATGCATCTTGCTCAACAGCATCATGGATATCTAAACCATGCTGATAAGAGGGAAAAAGTTAAATCTGTACAAATGCAATTATATTTAAAAATGCTAATGGGTAGATTTTTATGCAGCAGTGGAGGAACTACTTGGGGTACCCCATCCCATGTCAGAGTGCCTCAATTTTGATGCCATAATCCTGCTAGTGGGTACGCTGGGAGGCAGGAGGCGATAATCTAAGCACATCTTGTGGAAAATCTGGCTTGAGTTCCAGGTCCCTGGCTTCTTTCTGGCCAAACTCTGGCTATTGGGGGCACCGGGGAATAAACCAGCGAGTAGAACATCTCTCTCTGTCTCTGACTTTCAATTACATTTTTTGTTTATTTAGCCTGGGGAGACTTACCCAGGGCTGGAGAGAAAGCTGCACAAGCCTGAGCAGCACCCACTCATCTTCATATGCCAGGGCAGCTCTTGATACACTCGCCAGAAAGAAGACTGCCTCTGGAAATATCTCACCAAGACATGGTGAAAATAGGTCTTCTTGTGATTTGTGGGGTTCCGAAATGAATACGGACTGCTTTCTCGGACAGGAGTAATCACACCTATTTAAAGAGTAATTACAGTTCAATGCAGCCAACTTTTTAGGCCTTGAAAACACTACAGCAACATAGTGAAACTGTGACAGCTCTGCGGTCATCATAAAAATCAAGGCGGCTTAAGTGGACAAAAAGTGCTGTCTTATGTATCAGTCTGGATTTGCCAAATAATCAGTTCTGTCATGATCAGTAACCTAGAATTTGAGAAGCTTATGTGTGATCGCACTGGTTTTTCCACATTGCATCTCCCCCAGGGATATATGTGTGGCCTATGTTTCTATTTTAAATACGTGCCATGGTTACAGCCTTCACATGGACCTTCAGTGCTTGAAGGTTTGCTCTTTGGAGAAATGAATCCTCTGTTCGTAAGCACCTGATGTTGTAAATGTCCCTTTCAACACTGTTTTTGCTACATCTCATGAGCACTGACATTTTCTTTTATTGTTGCTTATTCAGCACTTCATGGGTCATGCAATAGCATCAATTTCTACAAGAAAGTTTTTTACCTTCTTTTTCATCACTTTAGCGATACATTGGTCACTCTGTAGCTTGTTGCTTTACTTCATGTTGATGTAAATTTTCTGTTGTTTTCTCTGTTGTGGATTGTGTTTTCTGGCTGTATATTTAAGGAGATGTATAATAGAAGTGCAGCAGAGACTGCTATGTCGAGATGTAGAGACATAGTACAGTATGCCTTTGTGTCCAGACAAAATATGGACTCCCAGTGAAACTGTTGAATATAGCCTGACAGTAGGATGCTGGACTCTCTGACACTGTCCATGCCTACGATGTCAGCAAACACTTCAATAGCAGAATGATGGTTCCTGAAGGACTACCCATCGTACTACTGGAGGGGAAATCAGTGGCAGAGGCAGAGGAGGGAGAAGAAGACTTGGAAAGAGGTATGGGAAATTCCAGAACCTATTGAACCGCATCATAAAATAATTTTCTTAATTAAAAAAAAGAAAGAACTGAATCTATTGCCTGGATTTCATATAGGCCAAGAAGTTACTGAACAGAAAAGTGGCAAGTTTGATATTGGAGCTGGGATCACTGTACCCTGATTTCCAAAGAGAAATGGCTGCAATAAATAATGCTGACCAGAAATACACTTCTCAAGAACAGAGAGTTTCCTTAATTCTATCCTGGTGAGAGGTGGGCGTTCAGCAGCATGGTTAAGATGCTACTCGGATATCGTCTTCACATATTGGAGTCCTTGGGTTTGAATCTTGACCCTGCTTCTGATTCCTGCTTCCTGAGCCTACACACCCTGAGAGCAGCATGTGATGGCCCCAGGACTGTGGTCTCTGCCATCGCACAGGAGGCCCTTGTTGAGTTCTTAGTTCCTGGTTTCAGCTGGGTCACTGCAGCTTTTGTGGGTATTTAAGGAGTGAGCAGAGAGGAAAGCTCTCTCTCTGTTTATAATCTGTCTCTCTGTCTTTCAAACAAATTTAAATGAATAAATAAATTCTACTGAAATTTATCATGGAAAACTAAATCAGAAGAATCTTTACATTTGGGGGGCTTGGCAACTTCTCTTTTTTTTCTTTTTTTTTTTTTTTATTATTGGAAAAGCAGATCTACAGAGAGAAGGAGATACAGAAAGATCTTCTGTTCACTGGTTTACTCCCCAAGTGGCTACAATGGCAGGAGCCAGGAGCCAATCTGAAGCCAGGAGCCAAGAGCTTCTTCCAGGTCTCCCACGTGGGTGCAGGGCTGTCTTCTACTGCTTTCCTAGGTCACAAGCAGGAAGCTGGATGAAAGGTGGAGCAGGGCCCGGCACGGTGGCGCAAGTGGTTAAAGGTCCTTGCCTTGCACGCCCGGGATCCCATATGGGCGCCGGTTCTAATCCTGGCAGCCCTGCTTCCCTTCCAGCTCCCTGCCTGTGGCCTGGGAAAGCAGTTGAGGACGGCCCAAAGCTTTGGGACCCTGCACCCACGTGGGAGACCCGGAAGAGGCTCCTGACTTTGGATCGGCATAGTATCTGCCCATTGCGCTCACTTGGGGAGTGAATCATCGGACGGATGATCTTCCTCTCTGTCTCTCCTCTCTGTATATCCGCCTTTCCAATAAAAAAAATAATAAAAAAATAAATCTTTAAAAAAAAAAAAAAGAAAGAAAGGTGGAGCAGTTGGGATATGAACCAGTGCCCATATGGGATCCCAGCAGATCCGAGGCAAAGATTTAGCCTCTAGGCTATCACGCAAGGCCCTCTTTTTCTTTTTCTTCTTCTTTTTTTAATATTTGAAAGAGAGAGAGAGGAATCTTCCATCTGCTGGCTCACTTCCCAGATGGCCACAATAGCCAGCACTGACTGGACCAGGCTGAAGCCAGGAGCCAGGAACTCCATCTGGGTCTCTCACATGGATAGCAAGGGTTGCAATTCTTGAGCTATTTAGCATTTCTTTTTCCCAGGTCACTGGCAGGGAGTTGGACTAGAAACAGAACAGCTGGGACATCCCATCTGGGATATCAGCATTGCAGGCATCAGCTTTACCTACTATGCCACAGTGCTGGTCCCTAAAGAATTTCTTCTTGCAAGAGGAACAGAACACACAACTGGATGGCATACCAAGTGTGACTCTTCAAAAGAACTATAGCAAAAAGGGAGACCATTGTTCAAATAACCATTGAGCATCTCTACTGAAGGGAATTGCAGCATGTCTACCCATGTGGAGAGATTCTGGGCCATCTGGTCTAACTTGTGCAGGTACACTCAGGCGTCAGTGAAGGGCTTAAGAGGCCCACAGAGAAGAAAGTTCCTCCTACCACCCACTCACCACATGCCACCGCAAGGAGCAAAGGCATGCTCATGGGTGGTAAACTGGGAAGGTGGAACACACAATTAGGGAAAGATCCAGGACAAATAAGCTCCTGAGTCCAAGATCTGGTGTTGTAAACACAAGACTTGAAGCATATGAAATAGCACTTAAAGCCTTGGGGCATAAAAGCCAGCATCCCATGTGGACACCAGTTTGAGCCCCAGCTGCTCCGCTTACAATGCAGCTCCCTTCCAAAACTCCTGCAAAAGCAGTGGAAGATGATTCAAATCCTTGGGCTCCTGTACCTATGTGGGAGACTCAGTTGAAACTCCTAGCTTTGGCCACACTCAGACCCTGCTACTCTGACCATTTGAGGAGCAATGCAACATTCAATGAGCAAAGATTTGTTACGTCCATCACAGTATGGGAGATCAGAATCCCTAATCTGTCAGAGACTGACTGCTTAGGGACAAAGGAAGAGGACGGGCCCTTGCCATTGTCTCTGGTTTTTGCATGGTGGCCACCAGCAGCGGAGGCAGACATGAGTTGTTCAACCGAAACCAGAAGAGACTCTTTGGTGACCAACAAGCAGATGGGTGACATGAGGCACTCATGGCAGACCCCCAGGAGCACCTGGAGCAGGTTAGGACTTAGTGTGAAGAGGGGCAGGTAGAAGACAGAACTGTTGTAACTTCTCCTACAGCACAGTAACAGCACTGAAAAACAGGTGTCTAGCAACAGACGTGGCCCAGCCTTTGTGCCGGGACAGCACTCTCAGCTTTTTGGTTCTCCTCCATGGTTGCCCTGATTCTTTTCCATCCTAAGATCCACATGTACACATGTATGTGCACACACATACCGAGTACATGAGAACAAACCAGCCTCAGTTTTGTTCACAAGAGAAGAAAGGCTGATCCAACGTAGTCCAGGAGTCAAAGGATGCCCTAGATTAGGTAACTGAGTAGGTAAAAGAGGTGACAAATTGAATGCAATGCTCTTCGGAGCAAGAATTCCAAAGGCAAGAAACAGAGGCATGCAGCTCAAAAAGACTAGCTTGCCTCATAATGATTGACATGATACTGGAACAGAGAGTTAAAAGACAGTTCTTTATCTAAAATGTCACAGTAGACCAAGGAGTACATAGCCTGTCTGTGCGTCACTGTATAGTGGACTCAGTTCTCCTGCTCAGGTCACGTGCAGGTGACTGATAGTTATACATCCTGGTGCCCCTGACAAAGACTGGCATTCACATCCTGATTCTGATAATGGGGAATACTGTCAGCAGAGTTTTATTTCTGGGCTCACCATGCACTGAAGGGGTACAGTATGTTCCCAGGATTTTAAGCCTCGTGTGCCCTTTTAGCCCCCGCACCTTCAAGAGTGCTATTGTTCTTGGAAGGTTGAGCACATGCTGAACCACCCTCCTGCAAGTGAGCAGACACGACATTACATCTAAAAGCAACTTCATTCCTAGCCTGCTCTCTCTCCTCTGCCTCATACAACTTAGAGATGCTGGGAAGGACAACAGTGCAGAAGGGAAATAGCAAAAAAGGTGTTACATTTTTTTTAAAATGAAGGTTTAGAAAAATCAGAGTAAAGCCTGGTGCGATGGCTCAGTGACCAGTCCTTACCTTGCAAGCACCAGGGTCTTCCATGGACATTGGTTTGTGTCCCAGCTCCTCCACTTCCTATTCAGCTCTCTGCTTATGCCCCAGAAAACCAGCAGAAGATGGTCCAAAGCCTTGGGACCCTGCATACATGTGGGAGACCTGGAAGAAGCTCCTGACTACTGGCTTCAGACTGGCTCAGCTCTGGCCATTGTGGCCATTTGGGGAGTGAACCAGTACATGGGAGATCTTTCTGTATCTCATTTCTGCCTTTTCAGTAAAAATAAATAAATCATTTAAAAAGAGAGAGATCACAGTAAATGTAAAAGGAAATTTGCATGGAGCTTGAACTCCCCCTCCCCCCAGAGGCTATAAAGTTTCTTTGTCCCTGGTTCCTTAGAGCTGCAGTTCTCCCTGTAACTGTCACAGAATGATATGCTTCTAGGTCAAGCCCGTATCTGTGATCACACCTGTCTCTCAGATGCAGATCAACAGTCCTTCCAGAAGCAGATGTGAATTCAATTTCAGAACTGGGGAGGATATTGCTAATTCCTACACAATCTCCATGTCCTTTAGTGACCAGACTCTTCACTGGCTTAAGGTGGCAGCACAGCCAGTTGAAACCACTATTCCTCTACTCCCCTTGGGTCCAGCTGTGGTCACGTAATGAAGTTCCAAGTCAGAGATGTGAGTGAAAATGTTGGTGAGAAACTTGAGGAAAAGGTCCTTAAAAAGCAGCAGCAAGGGCCCAGCATGGTGGCCTAGTGGCTAAAGTCCTCACCTTGCATGCGCCAGGATCCCATATGGGCACCAGTTCTAATCCCAGCAGCCCCACTTCCCATCCAGCTCCCTGCTTGTAACATGGGAAAGCAGTTGAGGACAGCCCAAAACTTTGGGACCGAACACCCACGTGGGAGGCCTGGCAGAGGTTCCAGGCCCCTGGCTTCAGATTGGCTCAGCTCCAGCCACTTGGGAAATGAATCATCAGACAGAAGATCTTTCTCTCTGTCTGTTCCTCCTCTGTATATCTCTGACTTTGCGATAAAAAGAAATAAATCTTAAAAAAAAAAAAAAGGCAGCTGCAAGCTCTTCTTTATCTCTTCTCCTTTCCTGTTGCCTGATAGTTGATGGCTGGAGCTCTAGCAGTCATGAAAAGTCAAATGCGAACAGGACAGGGAAGGAATGGGTCACAAACCATAGTGTGACCAGGATGGCCTGCCTCGGGAGAATTAGACCCTGGAGTTGTTCACCCACTGAAGTCTTCACAACCAACTACAAGTCCTAACTTGCTCTTGCAGATGCTTTCCTACCTGAATCCATCTCTATTTTAAAAATCTCAGCTCAGGCTCTGCTCTGGAGGCAACTCCTCCCCCGACTTAGCCGCAGGTATGCCCCCGCACTCGGGCCTTACCAAGCAGCATGTGCTCCACAGCTTCTCGCAGGGACTGGTGCCAGAAGTACAGGAGCCCATTGGGCTTCTCCTGGACCCACTGCTTGGTGGCGTTGCGGAAGGCCGCCCAGTGAAACGTAGTCACTTGGTACTGGTTGTTGTAGCCCAGCATGTCCAAGATCTGGAGGAGCTCATCTTCGGTCAGCCCACCATGAGAGATGCACAGCAAGCACAGAGTGTCAGCCACCCAGCCATCCAGCCCTAGGCAGACAACAGGAGGGGGTGGGAGGTCAGCAGAGTGAGCACGTGTCAGAGAGCATTCCAATGTTTTACTTAACCAGCTTACTCCTTTCCATCAGCCTATAGACAAACACAAAAACTATCCCTGTCTAAGACACAAAGAAAATGAAAGCCACAGAGAAGTCCATGCAGAAGGGGATTTGGGGACCAGCACAGCGGCTCAACAGGTTAACCCTCCATCTTGGAGTGCTGGTATCCCATATGGCCACTGTTCATTTCCCAGCTGTTCCAATTCCCATCCTGCTCCTTGTTTATGCCTGGGAAAGCACCAAAGGATGATTCAAAGCCTTGGAACTCTTTATCATGTGGGAGGTCCTGAGGAAGTTCCTGGCCTGGCTCTAGATCGGCTCAGCTCCAGCCACTGTGGTCATTTGGGGAGTGAACCAGCAGATGGCAGACCTCTCTGTGTGTCTCTCCTCCTCTCTGTAAGTCTCTTTAAAATAAAATTTTTTAAACAAAAAAAAGGATGTGAAGCCAAAGACCCTGACTCCAGAGCCCATATGTTACAACCATCCCATCTACAGTGCTACACAGCTATCTCACCTAGAGCAGGAACAGCAAATGCAAACCGCCAGTCACTGCTGCTAGCCTTCCTGCTGGGCAGTCCTTCCCCCAGGTGTCCACTCACACCATTTGCATTTATGGGTAGTAAGGGCTTTTCTGTTGGACTGCCTCCCTGGCCACGAGTTCACCGATGCCCTTGAGATGGTCCCTTATTACCAGCTTGACTTAGATCTTCCCACCAAAGCTATATTTCTTGCTGGCTTTAGGACGACCCAACTCTAAAAGAACCCTTCAGAGCACTAAGAAATGACAGCGCCATCTGCCAGTCTGAAGGCATTTCCTCCCACTGGAAGCTGGGAGCCACGCTAAATCTTCAGTCTTTAGCCTCAACAATAGAAGCTTGCCCTGAGGCTTACCTCGGCTCCACTCAGCTTGACTCAGCTCTCCTGCCCCTGAGCCCGTGCTCCCAGGCCTGAGTCACCCAAGATCTCTGGGAACTGGTGGGAGACAGAACAGTCCTTGCCAGGGGGAGGACTCTGCTTCCCTATGGAAGGTAGCTCAGCCCTCAATCACTGTGCCCTAAAACTCTTTGAGGGCACAGGCACCTTGTTCCCATCTCCCTGAACAGCCAGAGGGAAGGAACAGTAAAATGTATGGAAATGCAAAGTCTAGGGTGCTGGAGCTGTGGTTCAAGAGGCTAATCCTCCACCTGTAAGTGCCAGATCCCATATTGGCACTGGTTCATGTCCCAGCTGTTCTACTTCCTATACAGCTCCCTGTATGGTCCGGGAAAGTTCCTTCCCTTCCTCCTGCCCTCTCTCCTTCCTCCTCCTCTTCTGTAACTGCCTTTCAAATTTAAAAAAAAAGGGGGGGGGAACGGGACGGGGGGGGGGGCAGCCCTGAAGCTCATGGCAGGAACAGTGACCTGCGAGAACACAGTTTGACTCCGAAAAACTCAATTACTAAGTATCATGAAACAAATCTGAAACTTGCAACAGACTTAGAGCGGAGGACCTCCAGGGGACCTGCGTTTCCGCGCAGAAGCAGCAGGCGGCCGAAGCGAGGGCTTCCTCTGCCAGGAGGGACTGCGTCAGCAGGGGGCAGCAAAGATCGCTCAGCCCGGGACAGTCAGGAGCGCAGGTTTTCCTAGAAGTCAGACTTGGGGACCCCAAGCCCCCAGATCATCTGAGCTCACCCACACCTCAGCAGATGACCATGGGGGTAACGGGCAACCAAAGTCACCCAGCACCAAGGCCATCAGAGCCAAGTTCTGCCCAGCAGTGAGAGGGGAAGCACGGAACTCTCACTTGACTGACTTCTCTGCAAACTCCACGGGTGAAATTAACCTGCATTGACCAGATTAGATTTCGTCATGGTAGCACTCTCGACTCAAAAGACACTGAACGGAGGTGTAGAAACGGCAAAGGTGTCATTCTTAGACCTCTGGAAAGCGTGACTGAAGCTTGTGTCTCCTACAAATAGCTTTCCTTATAGTCAACACGTAGAGATCACAATACAGGACACCCAGTGAACTTGGAATTTCAGATAAACAACCAATGAACATTTGGCCTGAGCATGTCTCGTGCGATATTTTGCATATACTGCACATTATTTTTATTGGTCTATAATTCAAATAATGTTTAGTGTAAATGTATTCCAGATATGATTCTCCAAGATGACTTGGTAATTATCTGCAATTCAAATTGTACTAGGCACCCTGCATTTTCCCTGACAACTCCATTGCCAGACCCTCCCTGGCTAGAGTGAGTGCACGGGCTGTCAGCCCTGCCCAGGGCCTACCCTCTCTTGAAGCCTCTTTACAAGTCCAACTGTAGTCTTCAATCCAGCGTTTCAGAATCAACCCCCAGAGCTCCTGAACAGAAGCCGCCTCCAGGTACTCCCTCGGACACTGCATCTCCTGTCGGTGGAGTCCGCGGTCTTTGAGTTCACTGGCCAGGATCAGGACTTTTAGAGGATTATTATGTACACTGCTCTTCACAGTTGGCCTGCTCTGCTGCAAGGCGTCGTTGCTGGGAACCAAGAGGTGCTGTCTAAAGGTCTTGAGCTTCGCCCCCTTCTCTTTCCTGCTAATGAGTTCCAGGGTCCGCACATCTGGGCGGCCACACAGGGCCTTGTAGGACGAGCTGGAGGAGACCGTACTCATGATAAGTTTGCAATGAGGAGAAAGCGAGCGTGGCAGCCAGGAAAAATCTCTTGCCTGATGGAAAGAACCAGAGAAATTCGGACACTTCAAAGATTTCAATAACGGGGTCCAGTGCAATAGCCTAGTGGGGCCACCTCTCTGTCTCTCCTCTCTCTCTGTAAATCTTTCTAATAAAAAATAAATAAATCTTTTCCACAAACATCTCAACAATACCTTTGCCTGTGGCTTTCAAATTTAAAGCAGGCAGACACTTGACGGAAGCCTACAATGGGGGTTGGGTTACTTATCAGTAGTAATGGATACGAAGCAATTCGGTGGTGAAACCATTTGATTAAAAAACATATTTGACTCACCTATCAATCTGTTATGATTGGTGTTATATAGGTGGCGCAAATGTGGACTCTTTTTTTTAACAAGTTCCTATAAGCAGGTGATTTCACAAAATCACACTTTTACAGAATGACCTATAGTAATAAAAGAAAACCTGAGAACATATTAAATCATTCGAGTGGGAAAAGAACTGTCATTTTGCACAGCCATAATTCAACATCTTAGTCATTCTGCCAGCAAGTAGCAATGCTAGGATTCAAACCCACGGTCTGGTTTGCAAGTTCAACAGTTTTATTTTGGAACCGAATAAACACCTAATAAGATTATTTCTCACATTTTTAACAGTCATTCCTTTTCCTCCACCTCTTTATCTAATAACAGCAGCTACCCTATTTTTGTCTGCCTTCACTGAGCCAGGCATTGTATGGAGTGTTGACTCAGGAACTATGGTTTTTTATCATCTGCATCTTAGAATGTTTTGGCCAACTCCTGAGGTCAACAGAGATGTCGCCCTTCTGAAAGCCAGCTTGCCTAAAATAGGCCTAAACTCCGCTTCTTTAATATATTCTTTAATCATTTATTTATATTTGAAACGTAGAGACAGAGACAACTCCCATCCATTGATTCACTCTGATTGCCAGCAACAGATGGGGCTGGGCCAGATCAAAACTGGGAGCCTGGAACCCCACCTGAGTCCCAAGGCTTTGGGCCGTCTTCGACTGCTTTCTCAGGCCACATGCAGGGAGCTGGATGGGAAGCGGGGCTACTGGGATTCGAACCAGTGGCCATATGGGATCCTGGTGTGTGCAAGGCGAGGACTTTAGCCACTAGGCTACCATGCTCGGCCCAGTTACGTATAGTTTTAACATTTAGGGCCCAGCGGCGTGGCCTAGCGGCTGAAGTCCTCGCCTTGAACGTGCCAGGATCCCATATGGGTGCCGGTTCTAATCCCGGCAGCTCCACTTCCCATCCAGCTCCCTGCTTGTGGCCTGGGAAAGCAGTCGAGGACGGCCCAATGCTTTGGGACCCTGCACCCGTGTGGAAGACCTGGAGGAGGGTCCTGGCTCCTGGCTCCAGATCGGCATAGCACCAGCCGCTGCGCTCACTTGGGGAGTGAATCATCAGACGGAAGATCTTCCTCTCTATCTCTCCTCTCTGTATATATGACTTTGTAATAAAAATAAATAAATCTTACCAAAAAAAAAAACATTTAAAGGAACTGCTTCCAAATATGCCTGCTACTAAGAAACAGAAGCAGTAGAGGCTCAATGCATCCGACATTATCTCCAACAAGAGAAAAATTAAAATCATAACCAATGAAAGGGACTTAGAATATGCAAATCAGTGGAAATGTGAACAAGCTATAAAACATAAAGAACACCGAAACCCAGTAAATAATCTAGCAACATGTAAAACGAGACAGGTGTGCTACAAGGGTGAAGACCACAGCCTCTGGAACCAGGCTGCTCGTTCTGGATTCTGAGGTCACTGCCTGATTACCCAGCACCTTTGTGCTCAGTTCCCTCCGTAACAAGGCATGATCAGCCTCGTACTCATATGTCGTGCATATTAAATGTGCTCATTTTTTTAATTGGTAAAACAGTCCCCAGCCCACTGGAAACACTATGTAAGTATTCCTACAATAATATGTAAAGCAGTAACAAAAAGTCACCTTGATTATAACAAGAAATACTTAATACAATGGCAAGATGTTATGCACATGCTCGATAATGTGGTCTTCTTCCTATAATATACCAATTAAACAAGTGTTCTTTTAAAAACATGTTACCTTCCGACCCGAAATCCCATAAATGCCAATCAATTCTTCGATTCCATCTAGTACAAGTACACATGGTTTTAAACTGATGGAAGCAATGAACATGTTTACAAGCAGTGAAAAGACCAAGGCATTGGAGTCTTCGTTAACAATATCCATTTCGAACCGAAGACCTACAGCACAGAAATTAGCTCAAATTAGATGACATCATTTCCATCATTCTAAAATATGCTAACAGGCTGGGGAGCAGAGGAGGTTGGGAAAACTGAACACTGACCTCAACTGTACAGCTGACACATATGATACAAGTGATGAGCATTCTCAAAAGATTCAATCCCAAAAGGATAATGCTAGCTACTTCCAGCTGTCTCCAATACGGTCTGATTTTATATAGAAACTTTGTGTGTGATCCAAAGCATTAATCTCATTCTCCCAAAAGTAAAAACATGCCATGTTGGAAAGGAATGAAAGGGAATAAAGAGAAGTCACGTGATCCATGAAGTGTCTTCACCTCCTTTTCATGGGGTACCTGTTTAGGGGCTATGGCCACCACCCTAAGTTCTGCAAGCAGGAACAGCTACAGCATCTCCTGCTCTCTACCTAGTGTCTTTGGTCCCAGTGCATGTTAAGCCTCACAAAGCCAACCCTAAAATCCGCCCCTTCCCCTGCGACACACACACACACACACACGCAATACTGAGCCCTAGAGCTTCGATTCTGGATGTTACCAGGGGAAACTAAACTAAGAACCAGGAAAAGGCAAAGCAAGTTGATAGGACATTCAGACCACAGTCAAAAGATGTAGCAGCAAAAACTCCAAATTGCAATCAACTGCATAGCAGCCTAAAAACATTTTATAACATACAACTTCTATCTTGCTTTCATTTCCTAACAGCAATGCTTTCCATAGCCTAGAAAGTCAACTCACAGCTTAACTTAATTAAGTATGTGAGCTGCATTTCGATTATGTTAGAATCATTGAGATTGTGCTCAACAATGTTTACCGATTGCTTACTACTATGTGAAGGCTCTGTGTTAGGTGCCGAGGGGAGACAAAAGGATCTGAAATATAAGTCAAGGACTTTAAGCACATGGGTATGCCTTGGGTATACTTTTTACAATTCATTTATTTTTATTGGAAAAGGCAGATCTTCCATCTATTGGCTCACTCCCCAAATGGCCACAACAGCCGGAGCTGAGCCAATCCAAAGCCAGAACCAAGAGTTTCTTCCAGATCTCTCACATGGATGCAGGTGCACACGGACTCAAGCCATCCTCCTTTTCCTACTTTTCCAGGCCACAAGCAGGGAGCTGGTTTGGAAGTGGAGCAGTCAGGACATGAACCAGGGCCCAGGCGAGATACCAGCAGGTGGAGGTCAAGGATTAGCAAACTGAAACAGCAGATGGAACAGTCCCTCTGTTTCTCTCTCCGTCCGTCTCTCCCTGCTCCCCTCTCTGTAGCTCTGCCTTCCAAATAAGTAAATGAATCTTTAACACACACACACACACTTGGTATTGCAATATGGGATGCAGGAGTCCCAGCAGTGACTTAAGCACTATACCACACACTTACAGCTGGATTTATATCTTTGGATACAAGAGAAAGCATGTGTGTGTATATTCAACATTTTTTAGATATTATAAGCTTTTCTACAAAAACAATATTGAAGATAAGGTTAGCATGATTAGCACTGGAAAATGGTCCTTAATATGACCCCTCTATTCTGGCAGGACCAATCTAACTCTACTGAATGATATCGGTCCGTGTCCTATTTACCTGGTAACATCTTAAGTGCTTAAACACTCACTCAGTGACTGAGCTCCTGACTAATCTGTTCACTTTTTAGAAATGCTGCCTTACCACATTCAAATGAACTGAAAACCTCCTGTCCTGTGCCAGTGCTGGCCCATTAGACAGGATCACAGGGTTCACAGGACTCCTGTGTAGCAACAGGACCACTTGTGAGTCACTGAGGAATCCAGGAGAGCAAGTGCACAGTCTTTGGAGAGAGATGTCATGGGACCAGGACTACAGTGGCCTCCAGCCTGACCAGAGCAAGGGGAGTGAAAGTGGGACTCCATGAGCACCTCTTCCAGAGGGGTATCCTTGGGGCAGGGCCTTCCAGGGGGAAAGGGACTGCACTGACCCAGGAAAAGGCACTCATGTTTCAAGAGAAGAGGACAGACATGGCTATGTGGAAGAGGCCAGTCTACTCCCTGCACAGGCCAGGAGGCAAGGCTGCAAAGTCACGTGACCCAAGCACCAAGTCCACCAGGGGTCTCTGCCCGTCACCAACTTGCACACAGATTCTCCTGATGCCTGATGATAGACGAAGACTTGGGGGAAAGTCAGGAGTGAAACTGTCTGTTGGCCCAATGAGGCAAGACCAGGTAGGAGGAAGAGGTGCCCCTTCGATTCCCTGTTCTCTTGGCCCTGCGAATCGAAGCCTCGCACAGGCTTGTCCTCGGCTGAATAATGGCACAGATGGACCTCTGAGTATAACTGGAGGAAATGCTGATAAGGGCCTTAGCACCACAGTGCCTGGTACTCATCCACAGGAACTCATGTTGTTCAAGGCTGCCACCAGGCTCTATGTGGTACCATGGCAGGAAACATGTTGGCAGAACATGTCACAGAAGGGCCACCAGCTGCCTTCAAGCTGGCGGAGCTGGAACAGCAGGCAAGAGGCAGCTCCTGTGCACGAACCATGCAGGGCTGGAAGATCCAAGAGCAGTAAATAAGCATCACCCAAGAGTGCTTTGGCACCTGTAACGGGAATGGGTCCTGTTCAAAGCCCACCTGGGACTGCAGCCACAGCAAGCTGAGGCAGCTGTGAGAAAGGCCTTCTGCAAAGCTGGCAGTGCCTTAGCAGTAGCTCCGCCCCCTCTGCCCACACCCACTCAGGTGAGACCCAACCCCGCAACACCTGTGTTACAGCCCTTCCTCCCCTTCCTCTGGCTAAGGAGCAACAAGTGTATGATCTCTCTGAGTAGGCTGCTCCCCTTGCTTCCTTTTCCAGCTGGGTGAGGACAAACAACACAGCAACAACAATAAGCAGTAACAATGCCAGCTATTGTGTGACAACTGCTGTTTAAGATTTTTTATATGATTATATTTGAAACTTCAGACAGCCTCACGAGAGAGGTACTAGTACTCCCATCCTCATTTTATTTATAAAACTTTGGGGCCGACCAGCACAATGGCTCTACTGGCTAGACCTCTGTCTTGCACACACTGGGATACCATGTGAGTGTCAGATCGAGTCCCAGCTGCTCTATTTCTCAGCCAAAAGCTTTCGGACCCTATTTCCATACAGGTGACCCTGGCTCTTAGCTTTTATCAGCTCAGCTCTGGGCAGTTGCAGCCATTTGGGATGTGAACTAGCGATGGAAGATCTTTCTCTCTGTCGCTCCTTCTCTCGATAAATCTGCCTTTCCAATAAAAATAAATAAACCTTTTAAAAAGTTAGAGACCTATCCACTCTGTCACCCATATGTGATCATGACCCAAATGGAGTTCCATGATCTTAGCTTCAGCCTGGCCCAGCTCCAACTGTTGCAGCCATCTGAGAACATCTTTCTGTCATCCACTCTTTATATATCACCTTGCCTTACAAATTTAGAAAAGAAAAGAAAAGCCTACAGTTGAAAAAACCAAGCAGGCCCAAGGAGCTTAAGTGAACTGCTCAAGATTACCCATTCAGTGGCAGAGCCACAGTTGTAGGCCAGGTTCAGAATCACAGCCCCTTTCTCTGGCCTCCACATTAAGGAAGTGGGTGTTCTTTCTAGAACAGATCAAGTATTCACAATCTTTTTCCAAATGCATACCACTGTTGCCAGTTTAAACACTTGTGTGCTTGGGATGGGCATTTGGCATGGCAGTGAACAACCTGGTGGGGGTGGGGTGGCCTGTACAGTGGTGTAGCAAGCTAATCCTATGCTTACAGTGCCAGCATCCCACATGTTGGTTCAGTTCCCTTCTGAGGGAAGGGGAATGAGAAAGGGAGAAACTGCATCCAGCATCCTAACTGCGTCAGTACCTGGAGATGGGGAACGGCCACTCGATGTCCTCCCAGAGTCCACAATGTAGAAGCATGCTCCGAGGTACTGCTCAAGTGGTATTGATACTTCTGAAATGCTGCTGATTTCATTACTGCAAGAATGAGGAAACCCTTCCAAGGTCCACTGGCTGACGTAGTCCACCTTAGAGTCTCTGTTTGCCCAGATACTTGCTGTCAACGCTTGGCTGGGAGAGCTGTCCTACCTGTTCTGTCCTCCATCCTCTGCAGGCCCCAGTGAACTACCATATCCCCCATGAGCATCTGAGCATGCTGTCTACTGCACCATCTTCAGCAACTGAGGAGGTTCAATTCTGACACACCGATTCCATGGTCAGACCACAGAACCTGCAAATTTCCCCGCAGTTGGGTTCTGAGTCCAGCAGTCCAGGTTGTGGGGGGTCCACAAAAACCTTGCCAGAGGTGACCAAACACTGGACTCCTGTCTGTGCCAACCAATTCAGGGTCCAGCTTAGTCTGTCACCTACTTCAGTCTATACACACACTGCTGGTTCCAGTCACCTGATCATTTCTATCTCCAGCTCCAGCTCTTAACAAATCAACAGATGCTGTGACCCAGCCCAACCCTGCCCACCACACACTTGGCCCTCATGTACACCAGTGGAAACTGCAGCCTAGTTCTTCCAATAACCCCCACCAGACCTGCTCCCAACCCTGGTTCCTGCACACGCTGGTATGTGCAATAGACTGTTTCTAGTCTGTCCTATATCCCATCCAGCTTTTGTACACACCAATGGGTGCTGTAGCCTAGCTCAGCCCAACCAGCTCCACTATTCGGCCCACCCTTATGCTGACGGGTACTACTGCCTGTCTAGCCAGGTCCACTCCCAGGACTGGCTCTCATGTTCACCAATGGGAGCTGCAGTCCATCAGAGAGGTGGCCACAGTTTCCCTACTAGGCCCACTCCCAGCTCTGAATCTTGCACTTTCCAGGTGGTTCTGCAGTCCAGCTTGACAGGACTTGTCCCAGTCCCAACACTTGCCAGTTGATGTTATGGAAAAACCCAACCAGCCTGTACTTACTCTGGCCTGTGCATGCAACAGTAGATACATTTGCTTATCCCAGCCTGACTCTTTCCCTAACCCAATTCATATCCAGGCCAATGGGTGTTGTAGCCCTGCCCAGCCTGGTATGCCCTCCCTCGGTCCCAGTTCTCACACACCAGCAGGAGCAGCAGCCCAGCAGGAGAGTCTTCTCTGTCCATCCACCTGGCTCGCTCTCCCCCATCCTGTGTCTTACATGTACAGGTGGGTGCTGAGGCCCAGTCTGGAGCAACCTGCCTCAGCTTGGCATTTGCCAGTGGGTGCTACAGCCTCACCCAGCTCACCTGCCCCCAGTTCCAGCTCATGCTGGTAGGTACTGCAGTCTAGCCCAGCTTACTACCCTCAGTTCCAGCCCTATTGTGAACTGGCTGGAGCTGTGGCCCAATCCGGCCTGTTCTGCACCCTGTCCTGATCTCACATCTGCCAGTGGGTGTTACGAAGTGACCCTGCCTGGTTCACCTGAAGACCTGCCCCACATGTATGCCAGCAGCTACTGCAACCTAGCTTAGTCTTGGCTGCTTCCAGTCTTGCTTCTTGCACTCACCTCTAGGGACTACATGCTGGCAGAGCAGTTCTGCCAGGTTCTCTATAGATCACCAACCAGTGGCAGATCTTGCGCACACTGGTGGGTGCTTGCCCCTGCATAATTTGGCACACTTCCTGTCCTGGAAGGTTAAGTGGCCTTGCCCAACCAGCCCACACCATTTCAGTTCTTGCCATTAGGTGCTACAACCAAGCCACACCTGGTCCACCCAAGACCCAGCTCTCACATGGTTCAGGGGGTGTAGAGACCTAGCCCAGCCTGTGCTACACCTACCTTGGTTCTTACAAGCACTAGCAGGTACTGGAGTCTGGCCCAGTAAAGCACACCCCAGGCCCAGCCCACATGGGGATATTACAGCCATGTCCAGCTCAATTCACCACCCTTATTCTGGCTCTCACGCTCACCAGCAGGAAGCACAACCCAGCCTTAGCTCCCCAACCAGGCTTGCCCTCAGCCACATATCTTACATGTTGCAGTGATTGCTCTCACCCAGCCCAGCATAGCTCATCCCTCCTCCTGGTCTTAGCGAGGCCCTGATCAATACAGTCTGCCTCTTCCTGTCTCAGCCTCTGTGTGTGCTGGTGCACTTGCGGTCCTTTTGAGACCCATATCCCCTATCAGAATGCCTGGATCTCAGAGCTGCTGCTCCTAATCCCAACTTCCTATTAGCCTGCAACTGGGAGGCAGTGGGTGATGCCCACAGTCATTGGATTCCTGCCACCAGCATGGCAATGCTGGATTGAGTTTCCAGCTTCCAGCTTCAGGCTCCCAACCTCACTGCCGCAGTTCTAGCTGCTGAGGACACTCAGGGAGTGAACTATCAAATGGGAGATTGTTCTCTGTCTCTCTGCAGCTCCTACCAAATAAGAATTTTTAACAAGATCTAGTTGAAATACAGCAGCTGTTTCTTATTAGGAGCTTTCTTTACTCAAAAACACTCATTAAAATAATAACTCACTTTGGGAATAAAATCATAATTGGACATATATGACTGAGTTTACTTCCTCAGTGTGACTTTAAAGAACCTTCGGGATGTACCAGGATAGAACTTGTTGCTTTATACCTTCCTTACACCACGGATTTTGGTTTTGCCCAGTTTCTACAGCCTCAGCAACATCACCGTGAAAAACCCATGCACTGAGACTCAGGGACACACACCGCACACAGAGAAACAAGCTGCAGTCCCTGTCCCTTTAGAGATATTACAGATGCCCCTCACACACCCTACAGATTCACCCCGGACCCAGAGGTAACTAAGGCTACGAGCCCCTGAATGAGAACAGCAGCAAGGTCAGACACATACAGCAAATCACAAGAGCTAATGGTCATCCGTGCTTACTGTACGCATGCAAGAACTTTATCTTCCACACTTAGAGAATCCACTGTAAGGCACAAGTTAATTATCCAGAGTTTACACAAACGAGCATTGCGCCACAGAGATTTAATTCAAGTAGCCCAGAGTCACACAGCGAGTCAGTGATGGCAAGTGGTCTGAGGCAGGGCTCAGGCTCCCCAGCTGCTCTGGGAACAGAATCAGGCACAGTGCGTATGCCAAACGATTGTTATCCCTCCCAGAATGCCTTGCAGCTTCAACATCACTGACCAAAGCTAGACTCTGATTTCCCTCGAGGCTGCTGCTCCTCCCCCATCCCATTGAGGCTGACTCCTTTCAGTCAACAACCTTCAACATTCATTTTGTTCAGGGGGGGGGAAAGCCAGGCATTATCTCAATTCCTCCCTGTCCTTGAGCCTATAAATGCAATCCTTGGGCAGATTCTGAATGTACCTACAGCCCTTGCTCTCCACTGCTCTTCCCCACTGAGCCACGCAGACTGCTGCACTTGCCTGCAGGCTTGCTGCTCTCCATCCACTCTCCACTGGTCTCCCAGTACCCTGGAGAGAATCCAAACCTTCTACTCTGGCCTGCAGAGCCCTCATAGAAACTACCCTCTCTTTGGCTTCCAGCTTCACCACTGTCTGGATACACGGATTCCCTTTTCCCTTTTTGATTCATTCAACTTTCTTTCCAGCTTGGGACTGTTCTCATATTACTTAGCTGTCCCCTTTGCCTAGAATGTTCTGAGGGTATAGCTTGTTCATAATACATTTTATGAGCTTTTGGAAGATCTCACATATGCATGCATTTCTAAATTTTTCTGTAACAAAATAAAGTTTTTTTAATTCAACTTCCCATCAATTATTTGAATTATCTTTGTAACCACATTAGCAGAGGGAATGACTCATTTCCAACTCAGCAGGTATTTTCTAAGCAAATGTACAAGCTTGAGGCAGTTACCATAGTTTCTGTGCTGCAGTTCTGTGATGAAGTAGTAGATCACAGTCATGATGTCACTGCTCTCACAGGTGCTTCCCACAAAATGAGGGATCACCAGCATGCTCGGGTATTTCTTCCTGAAATAATTCACCCAGTTGGCAATCAGAGTGGACTTCCCACAACCTCGTTCGCCAGACAAGAGCAAAATAGACTTGTAAGTTGGGAAGGAATTAACTCTGAAAAATAAATGGGGAAGATCTAATCAAGATTTTTTAAACACTTATTTATTTTTATTGCAAAGTCAGATATACAGAGAGAAGGAGAGACAGAGAGGAAGATCTTCCATCTGCTGATCCACTCCTCAAGTGGATGCAATGGCTGGAACTGAGCCAATCTGAAGGCAGGAGCCAGGAGCCTCTTCCAGGTCTCCCATCCGGGTGCAGGGTCCCAGGGCACTGGGCCATCCTTGACTGCCCTCCCAGGCCACAAGCGGGGAGGTGGCTGAGAAGCGAGTTAGCCAAAATTAGAACTGGTATCCTTATGGGATCCCAGCACCTTTAAAGGCCAAGACTTTAGCCGCTAGGCCACCATGCCTGGCCTATAATCATGAATTTTTTACTAAAGAAGGGGCAGGGGAGATGGGAGAAAGGGAAAGATGGAGGCAGGGGAGGACATTTCTAATATGTATTATGCCTCTAGAGACAGGAAGTTCTAATTTCAACTTTGGCTTCAATTAGTTGCAAGGTCATCCACCCTCTGGGCTTCAGCTTTGTCCTGTATGAAATAAACAGAGTAGGAGAGAGTAGCCTGCTAGCCCCTTCCAACCACACTGATCTTGTGTGACCTGAGCCGTCCAGTGTGAACTGAGGGTTGTGTCAAGGCCCAGGGCACAGGCAGGAACACTACCAGCTCAGTCCACTGTGCTTTTATCGGACCTGCTCATTCCTTCCTTAGGTTACCACCACCATCACCACTCTGGTCCTTGGTATAACATCACTATGGAAGACTAAAAACATTAAAACATTTATATGCCAAGAGTTCCCATCTAACCTGATGGCTTCCAAATTAGAAATTCAACAAAATTACCATAATCGTCTTAATATGAGTTGAAAATCAAGTTTTAGGTCTCTATCATGCCAGCAAATTAGAATGGTCAGATTTAATTTTGTATTTAGTCTCACCTCAACTAAGCAGCCAGACTGAGTCTTGAGCCTATCAAAATGACAGACAGGGGCAGGTGCGTGATGCTCTAACCAAGTCACCACCTGCGGTCCCCACATCCTGTATCACAGGCTACGTACAAGTCTTGGCTCCTCTACTTCCAGTCCAGCTTGTTGATAATGACACCCTGGGAGGCAGCAGATAATGACCAAGTGAGCCCATTCACCCTGTGGGCGACTCAAACTGAGTGTTAGGCTCCTGGCTTCAGCATGGCCCAGCCCTGGCTTTTGTGGGTATCTGGAAAGTGAATGAACAGATGGAAGACCTGTGTCTCCACCTGGAAAATAAAATGAAAAGCATCGCCTTTACAGTGAAGAAGGAAAGTGTCGTATAAGTAGGGATTACTCTGCTCAAAGCCAGGAAAAGCCCCCGTGCCTCTCTTCCCTCGCCCTCACCACCTGCCTTCTCTCCAGCTGCTGGCCTGGGTGCTCTTGCTCCAGCCTCAGGCCTCTGTGACTGGCTCGTGTAGAATGTTCTTCAGTTGCAGAGTTGCTCCCTCACCTGTTTCTAGCAGTTCCCCAGAGACCGCATTCTCAGGGCGGGCTTCCCTCACCCTGCCCTACCAGAAGGCCTGCTCTTTTTCCATGTTTCATCCTGCTCCGTGGCACTGGAAGGCACTCGGCAGCCTGCACAGCTGACATACCTCCATGCATTACCTGTGTCCACAGTGCAAGCTCCACAGAGGCCACAGTGGCTGACAGCATCAATGCCCCAAGCCTGGCACTCTTTCCTGTAGCCCACACATAGCTATCAACTCACAAGCTCTTATCCACAAACACAAACAGCGGTGCAGGCTATGTCACTTTATTAGACACTGGCTGCACTTATTAGCAACCTGACAATGTCTGTGGGAACTCCTCACCAACTACACAACACCATGTAGGTGCATTATTCATAGTCCCTAATCTGATTTCTTCTCATCAGAGTCATTCCAACATTCTCAGAAACAACTTAGACCAATTGTTAGGCAGGGGAGAAAAAAAGTCTTCCTCCTCACCTTCCACCAGAGTTCATTATCTCCTTGAGGGTATTGGAAGAAATATGTGACATATCAGAAAAGCTTTGCAAATGCAGAGTGATGTCTAACCAGGAAATGTGAGCCCAGGGATAGCTTTTAGGGGTTCTCTGTTACAGGGAATGATGGCAGAGAATGGGAGAAGTGACAGAAAACATTCCAAACGGGAATCCTACTTACCAAACCGAGGCTATTTTGCTGGAGCCCCATGAAAAGGACTGAGGTTGTTTGCTATCTCACCTGGAAACACGGTCTACACTGGAACCTGCCGCCGCATTGTTAACATCCAGTTCCATATCCTTCAAGGCAAATCTCTCCAAGATTTCAAAGTTCTTATTTGGCTCCTTGAAAGCAACACCCGTTTCCTGGCACTTCTCAATAAACTCTTCATGATAGAAACGTTCAAAGCTGTGCTTGTAATCTGTGTAGTCAAAAGATAAGTTTTAGCATCTTAGATGTGTAGATGAACATTTCCCACTGCATACACACTTTATCGTAAATGCCCAGCAAGGTGCCTGCCTCTCTGTCTGCAGCACCCCTCACAATGTTGGCACCACGTTTCAAAACCCAGCCTGTACCCTGATGGAAAAAGGCTGAGCAAACAATTCAGCCTCCCTCGTGCCGACTCCACGTGGAATCCTGTTTAGGACGCCAAGTTATCTCATGAGCTCAGAAACACTAAGGCAGAAAAAAAAATTAGACTTGCTACATACATTTTGTGATCTTTCCAAATCATTAGCTAAGAATGAAGTTATCTAATTCAGTCTTTTGGGGGCAAGTGTGTGTGTGTGTGTGTGTGTGTGTGTGTGTGTGTGTCTAAGGCAGAGGTCAGAGCAATGGAGCATAATTTTAGGCTAAGACACTCTAATAGAATGACAAATGACAACCACGGGCATGCTTATAGTTCTGCCACTAGGCAAGTGCCTTCACTTTTAGTAAAATAATGGTGAGGGTTGGACAATTGGAAGAGCTCTGAGGTTCTTTCCAGCATCAATTTACTACAATTCCAATCTTGTTACTTAATTAAAGACAGAGTGCTCTAGGCTGCAAAAATTCCTTCCCATCCCTGGAGATACCTACACCACCCAGGTGTGTTTGTAACTGAATACTAAGAAGCAGAGGCTAATATCAATATATGCAGACAAACAAAACATCAAATAGATTAGCCTGATAAGGTTCCAGGGTACAAGCTAGACCTTAACCTTCCATTAGTGACTGGGCTGCCCCATTGGTTCAGGTTTGGACTAAAGTAGACCTAGAGGAACCACAATGTGGCCAGTATCAACTTCAAGTTTCAACATCTTCATGTTTCAAGATAAAACTTGGGATCAACTTATACTACAGTAGGTCTCCAGACCTAAACTTGAATCTCATTCATTAATCTAGGGCATCTCCAAGTACCTGACAGGTATTTCTAAGGCTTAAAAGTATAAATGAGTAGCTCTGCATTGTATTACAATAACTACAGGCTGCCCAAATGGTCTACCTGCACTCTTGTCATGGACTATGAGATTTTTTTTTAAGATTTATTTTATTTTTATTGGAAAGACAGATATACAGAAAGGAGAGACAGAGAGGAAGATCTTCCGTCCCATGATTCACTCCCCAAGTGAGCGTAACGGCCGATGCCATGCCGATCTGAAGCCAGGAGCCTCTTCCGGGTCTCCCACATGGGTGCAGGGTCCCAAAGCTTTGGGCCATCCTCGACTACTTTCCCAGACCACAGGCAGGGAGCTGGAAGGGAAGTGGAGCTGCCAGGATTAGAACTGGCGCCCATACGGGATCCTGGCATTCAAGGCGAGGACCTTAACCACTGTGCCATTGTGCCGGGCCCAGACTGAGATTTTGAAGCTATCTGGGTAATTGGAGGGTGTTAAAAACCCAAAAGAAAGGGCCCGGCGCGGTGGCGCAAGTGGTTAAGGTCCTTGCCTTGCACGCCCGGGATCCCATATGGGCGCCGGTTCTAATCCCGGCAGCCCCGCTTCCCTTCCAGCTCCCTGCCTGTGGCCTGGGAAAGCAGTCGAGGACGGCCCAAAGCTTTGGGAACCTGCACCCGTGTGGGAGACCCGGAAGAGGCTCCTGGCTTCGGATCGGCAAAGTATCGGCCCGTTGCGCTCACTTGGGGAGTGAATCATCGGACGGAAGATCTTCCTCTCTGTCTCTCCTCTCTGTATATCCGCCTTTCCAATCAAAAAATAATAAAAATAAAAAAAAAACCCAAAAGAAAAATAACAGTACTTTCTTTTAAAGTATTTTCATAATCAATCTATCTCATACGTTATAATTCAGATATTTGGCCCATACATATGCACTCAAGAATAAAATTTAGGGACTGGCATGATGGTTTAAGGGGCTAATCCTCTACCTGCAGAACCAGTATCCCATGTGGGCACTGGTTCTAGTCCCAGGTGCTCCATTTCCAACCCACATCCCTGCTAATGTGCCTAAGAAAGTAACAAAGGATGATTTAAGTCCATGGACCCCTGAACCCATGTGGGAGACCTGGAAGAATCTCCAGGCTCCTGGCTTCAGATCAGCTCAGCTCCAGCCATTGTGGACATCTGTGGAATGAATGAGTGAATAGAAGACAGATCTTTTTATCTGTCTCCTTCACTCTGTAAATCAGCTTTTCAAATAGAAATAAATAAAACATAAAAAAGCATAAGTTTAAAATAAGAAAGTCTTTCAATAATACTGAAATCAAACATCAAGAAGAATAGCACAGAAAAATAAATAAACCCTAAACCAAATACATTGAGACTTGATTCCTGAACGAATGAGTGACCATTAATCAACATGTGTGATTCAAAAGGAGATTTGTTAAAGAATATTAATCACATTAACCAAACATTGATATTCTTTCAGAAGCCATTTGTTACTTTTCATTCTCATTAGCAGTTTGTTCTGTGGCCAATGTATGACAGACAGAATTTGGGGTGCTGTGCATGCCTTACTACTTTCAGGGTGATTGATTTTCATCTGTTTGTATAGAAAAACTAAGAATTCCCAATATTAAATAATGTTAAATAAGAACTGAAAAATTCTAGAATATGTCTCTCAGATTCTAAAACCCCAAGTCTGTAATAAATATTTGAGATAATTAGTGAATTACACAATATCTGTATAAAGACTTCACGGTGAGGCCACACTCTCTGGTTCACCATCAATCTCCATACTATTCATGAGGACTGTTACTGGCCTGGTTCCTGAAAGTACTGGAGAATGTACCGCTTGTCACCCTTCTGTATCTTCATATTAAATAGTTCTTACATTAGTTATCCATAACCTTGTTTGGGCCATCACACCTTCTAAGCATCTGACCAAAGACGCAGGTCATCTTTCTCCCCCCCTCTACCACAACATACACACCCTGTCTCGGGGCACCACAGGTCCCTGCGGAGGTCTGTCTGGGTGGGGAATGTCTAACACACTCTGAGAGTGCTCTTTCCTTCTTAGTCTACTAACGGCTACAAGCCATCATCTTCCAAACTAATCACTTCACTTAGCAGCGAGATGCTTGTGAGGCAGTGCTTTTCAAACCTCAGCACGCATGCAAATCTCCTGGTCATCTTGTTGAAATGCAACTTTTAATTCAGTAAACTGGGAACAGGGCTCAGAATCTGCATTCTGAACAAGCTCCCAGGTGATGCTGCTGTTGCCGGCCCACGGGTTACACTCTAATGGTACAGGGTAGGGGACGCAGCCATGGATTTTAGTCATGGGGACCTGGGCTCAATTCCTGGATTGGCTTCCTCACTGGCTGTATGACACTGATAACGTTGTTTAATTGCTACCAAGGTAGCTTTCATTTCTCAACTGCAAAACTAAAATTATAATATCTATTTTGCAGGGCCAAGGCTTCAATACATACAAAGTATCAATATATTCAATATATACGAAGTATCAAACTATAAAAATTCTCCTCTCTTCAGCTCAGGGATTCTCAACAAGGGCACACTTGGCATTTAGGCTGCATGATGCTCTTCCACGGGAGGCTGTTCTGTCCACAGTAAGATATTTAACAGTAACTACCTACTCCATGCTAGTAGCTCTCCCCCAGTTGTCATAACCAAAAATGCCATGAGACATGGCAACTGTCTCTCTGGCAGAGAGGGAACAAATGGTCTTAGTTGAGAATCCCTGTTCTAGGTCTACATGTTAACCATCAGATATCATTTTGGCTTTTCTCTGGACTCCTTAACTACCTAAATAATCTTCCATGACCCATTATTGCTGCTTTTCACTTTCAAAAATCTTCAAAATGGAAAAGCACAGGTTATATAGGAATATGGGAATAATTTAAATGCCTTAAAAATCCCTTAAACAATCCCTTAAAATCTCCATTGGGGGGGCCGCTTCCGTGGCATAGCAAGAAAAGCCCATGTTTGCAGTGCCAGCATCCCATATGAGCACTTGTTTGAATCCTGGCTGCTCCACTTCCAATCCAGCTCCTTGCTAACGAGCCTGGGAGGCAGTGAAGAAGAGCCCAGTGGAGATCACATGGGAGACCTGGAGGCAGTTCCTGGCTCCTGGCTTTGGCCTGGCTCAGATGCAGCTACTGCAGCCCTTGGAGCGGGGTGGAGGCAGTGAGCTAATAGATGGAAGTTCTCTCTCTCCCTCTGCCTAGTCTGTAGCTCTGCCTTTAAATAAATAAATATTAGAAAAATAAAAACTCCTTTCACAAAGATGACATGCACACAAAAAAATTATTAACCTTGGAGCTGGCATTACAGCGGTTTAAGCTGCCATTTGCAGTGCTCACGTGCTATACAGGAGCACTAGTTCAAATCCCAGTAAACTCTGTTTCCGATCTAGTTCCCTACTAATGTGCCTGGGAAGGCAGCAGATGATGGCTCAAGCACCTGGACCTCTGCTACCTATGCATGAGACCAGAATGAAGTTTTGAGCTCCAACCTGTGGCCCAACCCAGGCTGTTGTGGGCAGCTGACAGGTGAACCAACGTAACGAAAATTTTCTTCCCACATTTCAAATAAATTAATTAAAAATTCTTAATTAAGCATTTACTGGTACTAGACTTCAGTGTGTCTATATTCACTAACCTATATTCTCCATCAGTAACGTGGCAGGGTAAAATTTTTCTATGACAAGTGCCCAGTCTTTAAGAACCAGCTCGCCCAGCTCCTGGAGCCCAGTGAAGAATCTGATGGGGAGCCCTTTGCTCATAATGCTGGCTTTCAGCTTCCCAACTTTCAGTTCTTCCTCTTTGGTCACCAGGGAACACGAAGATGGCCCCTCCACCTTTACCTGGCCTGAGGCCTTTGGCAGGCTGGCTTGAGTCCTAAAGTAAAAATACTGGAATTGTGATGGATTCAGAAACACTGCTTGGATGATCTCAAACTCCATCACACTACAGTCGCAATGCTCCAGGACCCAAGGATGACCATTTTGGGCCGCAACATAGAGAGCTTGTTTTGCGTTGGATGAACTTGACTCGTGGGTGTCCTTGGAGCGGTCAGAGAGGATGTCCCCATAGGTCTGACCCAGCAGACAGATGAAAAAGGGAGAGCAGCTGTTCACAGAGTCCAGGCAGAGCTTCAGGCGCTGGGCGTGGAGGTGGGAGTGCTTTCGGCATAGGCCGGCAGGTAAGGCGTTCTGGGCCTTCAGGGCCGACCACTTCAGATCCACTGCTTTGAAATACGTGCCCCGGGAACTACACAGGGCGTTGAGCTGAGGAAAGATGGTGCTGGCCAGAAAGTCTCTCTCCTCCTGAAACTCGTTCACCGCGGAGCAGATGTAAGGCTGGATGGGTTTTGGTGGTTTGGAGATGAACTGGGAGCAGCCTGCCACATTCCTGCTTGCCTCCTGGTTCATTTCACTTTGCTCAAGGATAACATCGTGATCAAATCATAACGAGTTTCATCCTGAGGCCACTGCTGACCTCCACTGTGTCCCAAGCCCTTGCCTGGCTGTGTCTGCTAGGGACATGTGGGCAACTTCCCCCGAAACTTCTTCTTTTTTATTGACATTGGAGGGTGGGAGATGCCAACCAATGGACAGATGAGAGTTTAAAAATAATGTAGATGAAATCAAGTCTGAAAAAGAAAAAAGTCATTTGTTTCAGGGTACCAGGCAGTCCCTGTGGTTTCTGTTTTAAGCCTTTGTTGCACATCAGAGCCTCACAGGCCAAGGAGGTTCTAGACATAAGACTCCCCTGCCCCTCAGCCTTCTAGTCTGCCTCCCCCACCCCAATGTTCCTCCAGCCAACCACATCTGCCTCCAAAGAATTTGGAAATCAAGCAAGGGGACTTACTGAGAACACAAAAAGGAAGGCAAGCCCAGAAAATGCAAGTGCAAGCACAATAATCCAGGGAAGATCCACAACTGCCCAGAAACCAGACTGGAAATGGGCACACAACGGGTCCAGACAGGAACAACAAATCAAAAGGCCAGGAGGCCAAGGGGACACACCTGGAGGTGGAGATGCAAGGAAGTCGGGTTTATCTTAAGTTGTGCAGGCTCATGCAACTTTCTAGTTATCTACGTGGGCTGGAAATTTAATTCCACTAAGCTAATGGAAAAACACACACTCCAACGACATAGCTACACCTTCAAGATCCCAGGGGAAAAAAAGAACACATGAAGATTATCTAGTTTGATGAAGCTTTCCTTGCTGTAACTAATTTCCATATGAAATGTTTCTTTTTCGCTTATGTCTATGGTTTTTACTTGTGTAGAAATCTATCATGCTATAAAGTATACTTGTCACCTGACAACAACAAAATAGTGCAGTATTTTTCAAAAAGTATTAATTCTATTAAGATGAATGTCCCCATAATCCTATGACAGATAACATTACTACTCTGTTTCACTCATGAGGACACAAAAGTTTAGACAGGATACGCAGCAGTTCTCAAACCATTTAGTAATAAGTGGAGAGTCAGGGGCTTCAGATTGCCAGGAAAAGGAGCTCTGGGACATCCTGGAGTAGGAACAACTAAGGGAATGTTTGACAGGGAAGGAATAGCCTGTACAGACCACTGGACTTGCACGTAGGCAAGGGAGCTGAGACAGAGTGGTTTACAGGAAAACTGGAGGGCATGTTGGGTTAGGCAATCACCCTCAAAGGGGCCACAAAGGAGAGCTGAGCTGGGCTAAACATCACCACCAGCCTGTCAATGCATGCAAAAGCTGGGGCTGGGAGGCATGCCTGGCTGTGTCAGACCAGGAGGTTGGCCATGTCAGGCTGGGCTGCAGCATCTACCAGAATGCTACAGTACCAGATCTGGGGGCAGATTCTGCAGGGAACTTGCGGGATCACCTCTGTGGAACTGCGGCACCTGCCAGTTTGTGCTGGGAACTGGGGGTGGTGAATGGCATAGCCAGGTTGGACCACAGAACTCACTTGACAGGAACCACCTGATACTCAGTGGAACTGGGGTTGGGAGGGCCTGGCTACAGCACCTGCTGGCACATGTAATGGCTGGGACTGAGGGCAGACCATGCCAACCAGGGTTGCAGTTTCTACTGGCACATGTGGGGATCCAGGGCTGGGAACAGGCCAGGCAGAGAAACCTAGGGAATTTCCCTACAAGGTCACACCTCCCACTAGAGAGCACAAGAGCTGGGGCTACGGTTGGGCTAGGGTCAGGCCAGGTTCGGCCAGGCCAGGTAAGGCTGCAGCATTCATCAGCATTTGTCTGGGTCAGGACTAGGGGCATCTGCTGGCTCATATGACAGCCAGGACAGGGTGTGAGTCATGCCCAGCTGGGCTGGGCTGCAACACCCACCAACAAGAGCTAGCCATGCCAGACTGGGTTGAAGCTCTCACCAGAACATGCAAAACCTGGGGCTTGGAACAAACCTGGTAGAAGACTTCCCTGCTGGGCTGTTGCTCCCACTATTAAAGAGCCAGGGCTGGCGGCAGATTAGGCTAAGTAAGTACCATCAGCATGCCTTTGGGTTGGACTGGTGGCCAGACAGGGCTAGGCTCCAGCACCTGCCGGCACTTACAAAAGCCAGAATGAGGGTGGAGCTAGGTCACCCATTGGTTCACATGAGAGCTGAGTCTGACGGTAGCCCAGGCTGGCTTAGGCCATAGCACCTATCAGTGAGAACCAGAATGGGTGTGGGTCTGTTGGACTACGCCACAATACCCAGCCAGAGCACGTCAGGACTGGGAACTGTCCATGTCAGTATGGGCAGCAGTACTCACCAACATATGTGAGATCTATTGCTGGGAGCAGCCTGGTAGGGAAACTTGGGGGAACTCCCCTGCTAGGCGGTGGCTCTTGCTGGTTAGCCTGAGAGCTGAGGCTGGTGGAAAGCTAGACAAGGCTGGGCCGCAGCACTCATTGGCATACTAGCAAGCCAGGTCTAAGGGCAGGCCGGTCAGGGTCAGTCCACAGCATACACTGGCACAAGTGAGAGCCAGGACAGGGTGTAAGCCAAGATGGGTTGAACTGCAACATCTACCAGTAGGCATAAAGGCTGGGGGTGGAAGTGGACCAGGCTGGGCTAGGCTAGACCAAAGCATGGACTGGGGTGCACAAAAACTGGGACTATTAGAGGTCACCCCAATTAGACTGCGGCACCTGCTGGTATGCATGAGGATCGGGCCTGTGGTTTGCATGGACTATGGGACTACGGCAGAACTGACCAGGAAGCTTGCACCCATTGGTATGGGCACTGGCTGGTGCAGGTGACAGACCAAACCTCACCCTGCACTTGTTGGAATACACAAGAATGAAGTCTGAGGTGACCCAAGCTGAGGCTTCTTGGGAAACTCCACAGCTAGACTGCTAGACTCAGAACCTGGCCACAGGGGAGATCACAGGATGTGTAGTCTTACTTTGGAGTGTATACGTCAGAACTGGATCTCCTCAACTGCTAACATGCAGTAGACAACATGCCCAGATGCAAAAGCGGGACATGCCAGCTAGCTCATCCAGGCCGGCAGGGGAATATTCCTCCTGGACAGTTCTCCTGGTCAAGCTTTGCAAGCATATTACTGGATCTGTGAATGCACTAAGGCGAACTCTATCGCCAATGAAACCAACTCAAGAACTTTCAGATCCACTTAAGTACCCCTTGAAACACTCTACCCCACAAAGGGGTCTCTAAGGGGTCATCAAAGGACCATCCCCCAAGGAGCAAGCACCAGCCCTCTCCCCATTTTCCCCTGCAGATACAGAAGGGGGAAAAGTCAAAACATTTGTGCCACCCTCCTTCTTATCTTCCCACTCTAATCACAGGAGCACATGGGTGTGCATCCCTCTCAATTAGGAAAATAATATTAAAATAAATTAAGTACATATTAAAAAGTAGAGGATGGGGATCTAAACACAGATAAGTCTGACTCTAGAACATGTATGTTACAATGTCTCCGTCATGCTCTAGGTCAAGAAGACAACACTTCAACAAACAAACAAAAACGGGGGTGGGCAGTGCTGGGGGCTGATGCTGTGGCACAGCATGTAAAGCTGCCACCTGCAGTGCCAAAATCCCACATGGCTGCCGGTTCAAGCTCCAGATACTTCACCTCTGCTCCAAAGTAGCAAAAAGTCTGGTTTCAGCCTGGCGTAGTCCAGACCATTTTTGCCATTTGGAGAGTAGACCATTGGATAAAAGATTCCCCTCTCTCTCTCTGACTTTGCCTTTCAAATAAATAATAATAAAAAAAAGATTTATTTATTTTTATTGCAAAGTCAGATATACCGAGAGGAGGAGAGACAGAGAGGAAGATCTTTCATCCAATGATTCACTACCCAAGTAACCACAATGGCCAGTGCTGTGCCAATCTGAAGCAAGGAGCCTGGAGCCTCTTCCAAGTCTCCCATATGGGTGCAGGGTCCCAAGGCTTTGGGCCATCTTTGACTGCATTCCCGGGCCACAAGCAGGGAACTGGATAGGAAGTGGAGCTGCCAGGATTAGAACCGGCGCCCATATGGGATCCCGGCGCGTTCAAGACAAGGACTTAAGCTGCTAGGCCATTGCACCAGGCCCTAAATCTTTCAAAAATAAAGAAAACCAATATATCACTTACCCAAGATGCAAAACTATTTCTCTGATCCAAATTACTGTGTTATTGTTATTACTACATTTATTTTAAAAATAAATTTAAATAAAAACTAAACCTATTAATTCATTTGAAAGACAGAGTTGTAGACAGAGAAACAAAAAGAGAGAATTATCCATCCAGTGACTGGTGCCTCACATTACGCTGTAGCCTGCAACACTACAAGACCGGATCTGTACAGTGCAATCAGACGAGGTCTTAAATAACAAGGATCTCGTAAACACTTTTAATCAATCTTTTTCTTTTAAGCTTTTTTTTCTTTTTAATCTGAGAGGCAGAGAGACAAACGCAATAAACTCAATTATGCTAGTTCATTTCCCAAACACCTGCAATGGCAGAGTCTTGGCAGACGCCAAAACCAAGAGCTGGGAACCAAACCCAGGTCTCCCACACCAAAGGCAGGAACTGAGTCAACTGAGCCATCACTACCCCATCACTACTGCCTCCGGGGTGCAAATGTGCAGGAAGCTGAGGTCAGAGTCGGGGCTGGGAGGACTGAATCCAGGCAGGGAGTGTAGGACATGGGATCAGGGCAGGGAGGGCTGAATCCAGGTCCTCCAGTGTAGGACATGGGATTAGGGCAGGGAGGGCTGAATCCAGGTCCTCCAGTGTAGGACATGGGATCAGGGCAGGGAGGGCTGAATCCAGGTCCTCCAGAGTGAAACAGGAGTCTCAACTGGTATCACCCTTTCTTATTTATCCATTTTTGATTAACATGTAATCCTGTATATTACCATGGGCTATAGTTCACTATCATCATCTCCATACACGCATTCTATCTTTTTAAGTTTATGAA